TTTTTTTTTTAACATCATGGCTTTGGACTCACTTATCAGGAGTTTCTCCACAAGAGGGAGATGTTTGCTTGCTTTGTTTGTGTTGTTTAAAGAAAAGAGACAGGTTAAATAAACAAACATTACTCATCATTTCCCTTTAAACGTGTTCAAGCACAAATCAGAAGTTAGAGCCAATGACATATCGCAATAAATGCATTTTCTGCTTTTTTTTAATATTTAAGTGCCTCAACTGACATTCTGTCAAACATTCTGTTTGTTGCAGTGTAAACATAATTTGGGGAGCTAACAATTGTGAAAAATATTTACGGTTACCTTACATAATTGTGATTACCTCAAATAAATGCAATCAGACAAGTATGTACTAATTGTGAGAGGCCCAGGGGAACACTCATACATGTTACAGCTTGTGTATGAGTTTTCAGTGCTCTCTTTAACTAATGTTCTTTTTTATAATATTAACTGATTTAATTAAGGTCTTCTTAATCAATTCGATTCTTGGAGAGATCTTCACAACACACAGTATCACAATACAATATTGTATTTTTTTAATTTCATTTGTTGAACTGTGATGACACGTCAACACATCACCAAGACTGTTTCACACCCCAATATTTGTGAGACTAAAAGGACTAATATATTAATACTTACCTTAGTTTCATAAAACTGGCAGTGCAGCTGTCTGTGTCTTCTTCTAGGGCCCGTGTGTCAAACACAAGGCCCGCAAGCCAAGTCAGGCCCATGGCACAATCCTGCCTGGTCCGCAAAACTATTTTAATTTTCTATTAATATTAGCCCATTTTACCATGAGCTGCACTACAGTTTCCAGCATGCACTGCAGTGTAATGTATGCTCAGACCCCCTCCCCCCCAACATTAGTCTATGAGACAGCATTACACCACAAATGAAAAGCCAGGTGGTTAGTTCAAGTAAATCGGCAGAAAAATAAAAAACCTCCTGGGGACATTTAAAGAGGTTTAACGCTTATCTGTATATTATGTAAGCTATTGGTTTATATAAAACAATGTTTTTATTTAAAAGTACTTTTGAATAGTACAAGTATTCATGTAATATTTCAGGCTTTACTACAAGGGTCTATTTTGCTGTTGCAGTTTTGGCCTATTATGAATAAACAATGGCCAATTCGGGTCATAGCAACATGATAATTGAAATGAAATAAATCATAGCTGGTCCACAGATTTGTTGAGATTTTTTAATATGGCCCTTTTTGTGGTTCAGTTTGACGCCCTTGTTCTAGGGGCTGGTTGGTGCCACAGTAAACAGGGAGGGCAGAAACAAATGAGGAAGTGGTCATCTAAGTACTAACTATACTGTTCATGTATTTATTATGGATTATGAATAAATAATTGAATGATCTAAACCCTTTTACCTGTTTAGGTTTATTTGGGGCTCAGTTAGGGCAGGGCTAAGGGGACGAGACAGGATATACTGGGTTACATTAAGGGTTTTTTTTTTTTGTGTGTTGTTTTTTTTTAGGCTGGCTCAAGGGAGCCTATTCATGTGGTTGTCTTCCAGACAGGCAAATGATACAGACTGACAGGTAGTCTTTTCGTGAGAGTGACTGCAGACGATTGGCTGAAGAGTCAGTAAAGTCACTGCATGAGAGACTGTTTTAAATGCTCTTCAGGTTGTAAAAACTTTAAGTTGGGTATATGAAGACTTAGTAAAAGAAGAGCACTTGAGCTTACCTGGATGTGTGTGCGCAGTCTGTCCAAGGCAAACCTAGGTCACCATTCCTGCTCACAGCCTCACTCTACCTCAACACATGAGCTAATAAGGAATAGGAGTATAATTTGAACAATTAATAAAATAAGATAATAGCATAATTGGCAGCTAATGTAAATGGAACATTTTTGTTGTTTAAAGGCTCTCTACACTTTCTCTTTTTACAATACATCTAGTTGTTCAGTGGGACATAATTTATCACAAAAACACCATATCACCCAGTCTCAGTTTGCAAGAGTGAAGGGGAAAGAAGGTGGGGAATTGCTTTGGTCTCTGTCGCAGGCATTTTGTCTGTAGACTTGCACTGTCAGAACAATGCTATTGTCTATGATCAAAGTGACGTACATAACCTTTCAGTTCAAAAGACAAGCAAGTCATGCTCTGTGTGTCTGTATATGTAAGCGGATGAAATGTTGTTGCTTCAGCTAATGTCCCATGTACATTTGTTCTGTTTTACTAAAAGAGTGAGAGAGAAACAGAGAGTTAGAGAAAGACAGACAGAAAGAGAGAGTGAGTGAGAGAGTGAGAGTGGGGGTGTGCAAGTGGTATTTTTTAATTAAAAGAGGGCTGAAACTGTCACAGAACAGCTGTGGAAAAAGCCTTCTATTAGTGCAGTTTCAACATAACCTCCCTATTAGGGGTGTGTATACAATGCCAGTGTGTTTAAGAATGAGGGCGTGTCCACAGAAGAGTGTATGTGTATTTCAGCCTGGTATGTTTCTTTTGTTCTCATATTTGTATACTAAGCTATAAATGTATCATGTATGTAGTCTACTAAATTGTACATAAGCATTAGGTGTGTAATAATTAACAAAATCCAATACAGTACAGTTGTGTCTTGATTCAATAATGACAACGGGCCCTTAAAGGGCCTTTATCATCGAAAACTGAAATTTTATTGCTTTTTTAAAACCTATTAAAATGGTTCAATACAGAATGTAAAACTGTTAAAGTTTTCACCTTGTCCATATGTGAAAATTAAGCTCAAAAAGCAGCCCATTTTGAATTCACTATTTTTGTGTAATCATTTACATATATCCGCCTGTTCCACCTACAGCAGTTTAGCCCCACTCATTCCCACTAAAGTTAAAGTTTCAGCCCAGACTGCTTTTTGCATGACACATAGTACAGGACAGCCAATCAGAACTGAGCACATCTACTTATAAAAATCTTAAATGCACAGTAACAAAAACATCCTGTTTAATTCTAAGGGATAAAGAGTGGTTAGACATAAACCCACACAAACATCATAATTGGACCTCAAGGGAAAAAAAAATAAAAATGTAGGATGGACCCTTTAATGTGTCCATTTTCACTTTATTAGAGCATTCAGCACTATAAAAGTGCAATATTTAAATTTTTTAAAGTTATGAAGGGCTCTAAAGTGTCCCAATCTAATGGTCTTGTCACAAGCTAATATGTTAGCCCCAAGCTAACATTCTAGTCATGATACAATTTGAGTCTGTATGAATGTGTGTGTGTGTGTGTGTGTGTGTGTGTGTGTGTGTGTGTGTGTGTTTTAACATAATGCTACTAAACAACAGCAATTGTAAGGCTGCAAGACAATACATAAATCTTTACTGACAAATGAAAAACAAGAGTCAGTTGTTATAAAGGTTGCTTTTGTAAATTAATTGATGTCATTTCAGCGAGTGACGCTTGTTGAAATAAGCCTTTGTAAATTATATATCTAAGTCAGTTGCCATGAAAGACTTATGTATATATAGCCTCATGAACAATGGCCTTCAGTAAAGTTTTACCATAATGACACCTGCTCAACATTTCTTAAGAAAACAAGGGTATTGATAGTGTTTAATATAATAATAATATTAACAAATATTAATTTGCCCCTGCTTTACTGCAGATATAGCCTATACTCTTCTGGGAAGGCTTTACACTAGATGTTGGAACATTGCTGTGAGGATTTTATATACCACAAGAGCATTAATGAGGTACTAATGTTATCTGATTTGTTCTGGATGACAGTGCCGTTCTAACTCATTATACGATGGAGCATCATGACTCCAGAGAAAACAGTTCCACAGGTCCATAGCCCAGTGCTCAAAATCTTGATACCCCTCTAGCTGATGGTGGACATTGGACATGGAGCATAAGATCATGTGCGATGGCTCCATTGCATTCCATTCTATTGGCAATACTTTACTTTATGATTTAACTGTTTTGATTTAACTATTTCAGATAAAACTTAACATAGCATATTTATATCACCACTGTTTATAACATAGCATATTTATAACACAACTGTTTTCTGGAATACAATGTTATCATGAGTAAAGTCCTTGTTTTCTATTGGTGTCACTTAAAATTAAAGTTAGTGTAAATGTTGGCTCTGAAATAGTCAATGTTTCTCATAATTCTTACACACTCTCTCTCCTGTTCATCCTCCACCATGTGTAAAAACATTTGTGTTTAAGACTTCATAATTACTTAGAGTTCAACTGACAGTTTTTGCAGCAAGTCATCAGTCAAGCTCAACCTTTTAAAGTGGGAAATTGTTACTCTCCTCTTCATATCCTCTTCGCCATAGCTTTCTGATTATTGTAGAAGAGATTAATAAGGTAGAAGGCTTAAGTAATGAAGAGCTTGTACTCACAATCTAGGACATTTGTCACCCTCTAGTGGTAAAAGCTTTAATTTACAGTTACTTACCACTTTGCAGCTGTACCATTGCAACTGTCAGTTGGATTTGTTTCTGTCTGAGTCACTCGGCAGCTTTGCACCTTGATTGTTTACTTGTGTAATCCAAGGTTGTTTGAGCTGTTCAAGACATTTAGGAGTCAGTATAAATTGGTAGGGTTGCCTGCAGTATGACATAGACTTATGTCTTCTGGGCAGGTTAAGGATGCAGGGATTTCGTCCTTGGCGTCCTGCTATACTATGTCACTCAACAAATCTTGTGGTTGGATGCACAAAACTCTGTGGGTCAGTTTCCCGGTAAAAGGTTAAGCATAGTGTCGAACTATATTTTTCCTTCAATTATGAAATTCCATTCAGGATGTTGTGTAGTCTAGGACTTAGCTTAGTCCCTATTTCGGAAAGTGACCATAAATTAGTATAAGCAAAAGCAAGTATCACCATACATTCTTTTTAATTGTAAGAGGCAGCACTTTATCAGATACAGCACAAAAATGCCAAAGGGTTTAAATTAATATAATTGTTGATGTGCTAATATGTAATTAAATCAAAGGGCAAAAACATTTTATAATGTTGTATTGTTACATGTCTTCTCCCTGTAGGGATCACCTGGTGCTCAAGGGATACCAGGTCCTCCGGGGCCTACAGGTTTTCCAGGCCAGCAGGGTCCTAAAGGAGATAAAGGATTCCGTGGATATGAAGGATTTCCTGGAGAGTTTGGACGAAAAGGGGATGCTGTAAGTAAAACACATTAAGGTAAACTGACTTAAAGCATGTTATTTAGCACTAGCAGTAACAGTCACCATTATGGGGCTTGAACCTCAAACAGATTTCTGTATAGATTCCCATTTTGGGTCAGTTTTGTGGACAGGAATTATATTTATTCCTTGTCCTGGATTATAGTTTAGTACTGAAGTCAAGACCATTATGGGCAAATCTGAATCAAGTCTCAGTCAAGACCAAGATTGAGACCGATTAAAATTTCTTTTAGAATATAAAAATTAAAAGAAGGGGAAAAAATGTAATTCATTTTTAGCTCATTGTACATTCATAATGATTGTACATGATATACATTATGTTAATAAATGATGTGTTTTCTGATATATTTTGTTAAATACAGAATGCTATGTATTCTTTAATCCCTGTCCAGGAAACTGATCCATAGTGTTATATTATGGAAAAAACATATAATTGTGCCTCCTCATAGTATTATCACCATATTACTTTATTATTAGGCACACCTGTGTTTTTATTTCAGGGTTTGCAAGGAAGAAGTGGCTTTCCTGGACTAAATGGGGTCCCTGTGAGTGTATTGTGAACAGTTTTTTGTTTTTTGTTTTGTTTTTGTTTTTTTTAACCCAGTTGTCACGCTGGACATCACATTTTAAAAAGTTAGGGTTAGAATAAGGGTGGGCAATAAGGCAAAAAAATAATATCACAATACCTCAGCAACTTTTCACAATATATGAAATGCTGTAATATCTAGTTTTTCTGATATCTGGCAAGTTGAAACAGACAAAAAAAGAACCAGTATCAAAAACCATGAATACAGTAAGTTGTATTGAATATTTCACGTTCTGCGCTGCACTAAATCTGACTGAACGTAATTATGCTTTTTTTGTAAAGAAACATGCAACGTATTGTGAGATTTCATCACAATAACAATAAATATCATCATATTGCCCAGCTCTAGGGTAGTATCACTTTAGACTAATTTATGTAATTCATTTGTGTTATTCACATATATGCTTTTTTAAAAGTTATAGTATATGGATTTACCAGCAAGAAAATGAAATGATGAAATTTCATATTGTTATAAATAAAAAAAAAGCACAGAAGGTTTAACCTTTGTTTATTGTCTGCAATCATTGCAATGATGTTCCAACAAAAAATGCCTCTAGCTTATATAAATAACCCAAATTCAAAACCCTTTTTTCTTTATTGTGTCTTTTTTCTTTATATGTATAAAATAGACAAGATCCAAATTGTAAAGGATATTCGGCTTAATAGGCATTTACATTGATTCCAGCACAGCAATAGACCCTAGCTTCCCTCCATAGTTGGCTGTATTAAGGTGTTATGGGGTTCCATGCACAATCCAATAGCAATTAAATCTGGTGAAGTCAATGTATATGTAATTAATGCTTTGTGAATAATCATAATGTCATTCATAAAGCTGGATTGCTCTGCATAAAGTTCAGTTTTTTTTTCCTGATGGGCTACATCCCCCAAATTCACCACTTAGGTTCCATTATGCATTATCAAATAATAAATGAATGGGATTCATCTTAACAGTGTAAATGCAGCATAAGACTGCAGATAGACTAGTAAATTAGTATCTTCACCTTCTCCTTAATGTTGCTACAGTTAGTAATTTATCTTTGTGTTTGTTATTCAGCATACTGCCAGTTAACCTGCAGAAGGATAACTCCCCAAACGTGTTTTATTTATTTGTTTATTGTTATTTTTTGTGGAATATTTCCATATACAATTCTTTAGAATACCCAGTTAAAGCTGCACTAATTAAAGAAATAGCATTATTGAGCAATAATAAAAACAATGTTAAAACATGATGTTCTTGTGATGCTGCAAGTCACCTTGTAAAGCCAAAAATATGCAGTTAAAAGTTAGAGCTGTCCAGTTGGATTGTGAGAGTTTCGTGCCCTTTTACACCTTGTGATCTTGTATCTTGTTAACTGTGGACCCATCAAACGTCGGTTTTGACACTCCGTTTCCTCTTGGGAATGAATAATGCTTCGGCCAAAATTGTGGGTCTCGGTACGCTTTCAAATGAACCCTGGTTCACACATTTTTGTGATGATGCACACCAAACAAAGAAATTCAACCTAAGAGCATGCTTTTCTGCTTCATCAGTGCTGTAATCTCTCTTGATAGACTTTAGCAAATGAGCTAGGTATGAAAACAGTGTAAAAGTGCTATTAAGAATGACAGTGTAGTGATAGCAACATATAACATCCACTGTGCCCTGCACATGAAAGAATGAGGTAGATTGAGCAACACCATTGATATCAATAAGAGTCCTTGGGCAAGACTCCAAATGCTGCATTTGCTTACAATTGTAAATTACTCCATTATCATGGAGGATGCTTTAACAGAATAATTCGCTCAGGGGACGGAAACACAGCTGACGTTTCAAAAATGTTCTTCTAGCAGCTGCTTGCAATTTGCGTATTTCCACCAGAAATGTCTAAATTCACTAAATTCACTAAGCTTACATAGTGCAGCTTTAACTAAACAAGTATTAGGATGAGTTCAGATATGCCTAGTTGTCATTTACCATGGAATGGTTTTGTTTTTGCACCTACATCTCTCCCACCTTTTACTGTGACTTTGATTTTGTTTGACAGGGCCATCCTGGACCACCTGGTCTTCCAGGTCTTCCAGGATTAGATGGCTGCAAAGGAATGCAGGGTGACCCAGGACCCAGCGGCCTTTGCGGAGAAATTGGCAGATGTGGACTTCCGGTAAGAGCAGCCTAGAGCATACCAATTTTATTTCCTTCCATTGTGAAGGACATGAGAGTAAAAGATTGAGAACTATTTTAACATTTCAGTGTGCATTTCCCTAAATCTGGAGTGCACAGATACCATACATGGCACATTATCTTAATCATTGTTCTGTGCAGGGTTCTAAAGGAATGAAAGGACCCAAAGGAGACTCTGCACACAAATACTCTTGCTATCCTGGTCCTCCTGTAAGTAGAATAGTTACACTCTTCATATTCATATCGATATTTCAAATCATTCAATAAATTAATGTTTATTCAACTTAAATGGATGTTTCTTAAATGGTATTTTGAAGTTTTAGGCCATTTGAGAACATGAGATGTAAACCTGTTTAATTGGACAATAGTCATTTGAAAAACACAAACCTTAAAATAAATACACATACATAAAATTTCAATGTATTGTTCATGTCAAAAATGCAGGTAAAAACACACTAATAGCTGTCTAAGGCTTTTACAAAGTTCTGTACAAACATATAACTTATATTGTACTACACTGCACTTTGTAAAAGTCAGAGACAGTATGAAAATTGATTCAAAGTTTTTTTTTTTTTAAGCAGTGTGTTTGCATCTATAAATAGCATTAGGATAAACAGTTATTGATTTTTATTTATTTATTTTTTTAGTACACACAGAGGTAAATAGCTTTACATGTCAAGCTATGTATCAAACAAAATATTTTTATCTTAATCTTTTTGAACCAAAATAAGCAATTTGTAACACATTGGCAAATTAACACTGAAAATTGTTTTGCATTTTCTGTCCTTTGATCTCTGTTTGACAGGGTTGTACTGGAAAACCTGGTGTGCCTGGACCACCTGTAAGTGCATCTGAGGGAGATTTTAAACAATTTGGCCAAAGGGTTATCAACCACAGTACTGTACAGTTGACTGCATATCAGATAATTATTAACCTGTTCACCCATTATACTGTTTGAGAGTGTATCAAAGACAAGACTGTGGATGTCTTGGATTTACATTAGAACATATTTATACAAAGGTTTTGCGTTAAGAGAAAAATGATACTGATGGCCAAAACATTTCACCAGAAACCTTAAAGTAGCCTGCATGCAATCTTCAGCTCCTTTTTTGGTAAGAATATGTCTTTTCATCACATTGTGTCCTTTAATTTTGAACTTTTGAAAAGTTATTGTTCTTTTCGCGTAGACATGTTTTATAGGCAGAAGAATTGTCTGTGATGTTTTTTTCATTTTTGACATCGAACTTGAATCTGTTGATATAAAATGTAAATTAATTGTCCATGTAAATAAATGCGTAATTAGTGAACCTCTAAGGGTAGGAGACAGGACACTTGGGGCCAATTCTATTTCTTATTTTTACCCCTACTCCTTGTTTTTGAGCATCACTTTGCCCAGTGAAACTAAGACCATGTTCTCACAGCAGGTAAAAGTGGCTCAAATCTGATTTTCTCACCAAATCTGATTTTTTTGTTTGGCTGTTCACATTATCTTTTAAATGTGCTCTATATGCGACCTTAGTCTGAACAGATCACACTCCAAAACTGACCCGCATGCGCAAAAGAGCAATGCTTCACGTGGCTCATCCAGAGCAATCCTGATTATGAACAATCCTGATTATGAACGAAAGCCAGTCGCTCCTGGAGCTTTCAGTTTTATCTTCGCCAGCATCACAGGAGTGATCATGAAGTTCCAGTGGCTCACAACTGGGCTCATCACCCAGAATGTGTTCCAGCTTGCTGTACAAAAGACACATTATTCGGCCACCGTCACTTCTTTGGCTCGCGTCCTCGGATTCTTTAAACTTTGCTTAAATGTTCTTTGACACTGCAGCCTTGTTCTTGTATGGCCGCATTCAGCCATTCATTTTGAAACTTCTTCAAACACAGAGCGGTTGCGGTAAGTCTCTTCTAATATTTTAGTACAGAAACATCAGCTTAAATGTTTATGAGGTCTCAGCACCGTGAAATGATGACAAATGTGGAGTTGGACTGACGTAAAAGTCACATGAATTCTGATCTGGCTTCATATTGAATTCTGATCTGGCTTCATATTGTCACATATCGGATATGTTCAGATTTCAGTACCACATATGAAAGCGTCTCAAATCGGAATTGAAAATGTCAGATTCAATGTTTTTTGCTGTTCACACATCTTTGTCACATATGAGGAAAAAGATTGGATTTGGGCCACTTTTACCTGCTGTGTGAACAAAACCTAAGGCTACGTTCACATTACCAGGTCGAAGTGGCACAAATCCTATTTTTTGCCCTAGTGTGGCTCAGATCTTTTCAGGGCTGTGTGGACAGGCAAATCTGATCTTTTCAAATCTGACCTGAGTCACTTTAGCTACATTCACATTACAAGCCTCATTGCTCAAATCCGATCTTCTCTGACAGGATGGTTCACACTCGTTTAGATAAGTGATCCAAATCTGTCAATAATGTGAACGAACCGGCATCAAGAAATGACCCGCATATGCACATCCTACTCAGTAACGTCACGTGAATGAATCATGTGCGTCACGTGCATCATCACATTAGGGATTTGTGCCACTTCAACCTGGGAATGTGAGCGTAGCCTTTCATATATGCTCCTAGATCAGATATGTATCCGATTCGTGGTCATGCAACCTTAATGAGAACACTTGGATGGGAATTCATGTGCTTTTTTTTTTTCACTGTGCGTGCACCATCATTTAGCATTACCATGGCAGCTTTAACGTAAGTTAAAGCCTGTAAACGTGGAAAAGCAACACATCTTACCTTTTTCGCCATCGTCTCACTCTAATAATGAACAGCTGAGAGCTGTTCAGACTTAATTATCTTCGCAGCGAAGGCTCGTTCTAACCGTTAGTTTGTTTGCTGATGATGCATGTGGCACACGCGACTCATTCATATGACATTACTGAGTATTATGTACGCATGCAAGTCATTTCAGGACAACTGTTCCTTCACATTAATGACAGATTTGAATCATTTACGTAAACCAGTGTTAAACATCATGTTAGAGAGATTGGATTTGAGCAAGGCTTGTAATGTGAACGTAGCATAAGTTACAAGGGTTGAAAACTTACGAACCCTACGAAATGGGACAACCCTCAAAAAAGAACATGACTTCATTAACAGGTTACTACGGTGCTCTGTAGACAATTTAGCAGAGGAGGGTAAAGTTCAGCAACCTCACTCCTGGGCTTTAGTTACATTTAGGGCATCATATGTCAAAAAGTGGGGGATGTGACAATTATCTATCATCACCCACCCCTAATTCTTCGGTGATATGAAGCTGAAGTCAGCTATTCGCTAGCTTCTTGTTCAAATTTAGCCACCTAGGTACCGAGACATTAGCATGCTACTAGTGATTTTTTTTGCTTGTTTTGAAGAAAAGGACAGTGATACTTTGAAACAACATTAAACTAAGACAAGACAATGATTATCATAATTTTTTAACAGAGAAAATACTTAAGTTTGTGGGTTTCTTTGGTCACTTGCGCAGCCATCTTGCCAGTTTCTTTTTTCACAACATTTCCTTAGGAGTGTGCCACTGAAAAACCTCTGTTTCTAGGGCCATGTAGCCTTAACTACAACAGCATTTTAGGACCACTGTTAATAAAAATAGTTCGACAAAAAAGTCGTACAATTTCAAGAAAAAAGTAATATTTTGAGGAAAAAAAAGTCACACAATTACGTTTAAAGTGCCATTAATACCAGGAAAGGTTGCAATATTGTGCCCAAAGGCTTTGCAAAGGGAAGGCAGCACCTTCTCGTATTAAAATGAGGGGTGTTTAGGAGTTGGTGGAGTAACACTTTCGTATCGATTTCACCCATAAAGAAATACTGAGTCTCCCTGTCTCTCCTGGCACATCAGGACCAGTCTGTTATTAGTATAAGTAACAGCTGAGCAAGAAACTGTATTTATTTAGAATAAAGTACCAGATGGACTCTGAGGGAACTGTCTGTCTGTTTTGTTGAAGGGCAATCGCAGGCAGGGTCATCTACACAGCTATCAATGGCTACATCTCCGTGCCATTCAAAGAAGGCATGAAGTTTCACAGACAGTGAGAATGATAATCAAAATGAAGGAGACAGGAGTGAGTGGAACTCCGACACAGCAGTACAACAACCGAGACCCCAACGGCCCCCCTACAGTTAGCCCAATTTATCCTCGAAATATTACAACTTTTTTCTTGAAATATTACGACTTTATTCTCAAAGACTACTATTTTTATTTTTATTAAAAGTGGCCCTAAAATGCCGTCGTACTTAACACTTCGCCCCTCTATCTCAACAAAAATTGAGACACCTGACCCTTTGGCGTGAACATGCAAAATGGAGGTGTAAGGGGCTAAGTGGTAGGGACAAGGGGTGAAATGGGATTGGGACTTGATACTTTTGCATGCTTATAGAATATTGAATTGCAACTCATCTGAGCAACTTACGAGCAACTTACTACTAAGTGAATAAGTAGTAAGTATCTCTGTCTGTGTGTGTGTGTATGTGTATCCCTTTTGGTCATTTTGCAATGAACTATTTTGTCTTTGACAGGGAATTCAAGGACCTTGTGGCTCACAAGGGTTCCCGGGATTGCATGGGGAATCTGGACCAGCAGTAAGAAATTATGATTCCTAGTTTGTTATTGGTTATACTAATACACATAATAATACATTTATTTTAGAGTACCTTTCATAAATAACAGTAATTAAGTAGTAAAGTAATTCATATTAATGAATAAATGGCAGATGCATTTTGCCAAAATTTTCTTGTCTTGCTGTTAAATGACCATTGCTAAGCTTGGGTAGTGAGTACGTAAGCAGTGTCCTCATCAATCACAAGGCTGATGTGAGTTCTCCCCTCCCCCACCCAGGGGGGTCTACAACACCACCTTGAGGACAGTTTCATTCCTTTCTCCTCACTCACGCTGTTGTGTTTAGTTCTGCTTCAATGACGTAGCTGTTTTGTTCTTCATTCAAACTTTGAACACTCAATTTTAGTATCATACTAATTTTCTTTTTATGATTTACACTGTGTTTGCTGGGAGAAGAATTTGGTGAAAAAAAAATAATCTACATGATTTTCCAAATTTTGTTTCTTGAAGCTACTAGGCTAATGTTGCTAACAAACATTGGAAATCAGTAGTCACCCTAACCATTATTACAAATACATTAGGGGTGAGGGGAAACATCGATTCTTAAATGCATTCCAATGCGGACGTGGACGATTCTGAAGCGATTTACAAATGTCAAAAAAATAATTCCAAATTTTAATTGATAACGTAATGTTGACAGATCGCAAATGCAGAACTTTGCAAAGCGCGGAAGTGCAGCGCCAGGACAGTCTGTGGCGGCACACTACATTAAAAGCTAGTGGGTCTGCAACCCAAATGTTAATAAGAGTCATTTTGTCTTTTCAACAAAAAGCAGACCACATTGGGAGCCACAACATTTTGAGTCCATTTTACCATCTTGGTTGTACATGTGTCTCGGTACGTGCTAATGTCCTAGTGTAGGCTAAAAATATAATACAAACAAAAACACAGACTTACTGTGCTCTGCTTTAAGCTTTAGCTCAGCTGTGGCCGCTTTTCTTGCATCACCAACTAGAAACTTTTCCACAAAATTGAAAGTTTCTTGTAAAATGCCTCTCAGTGTTCTACTTTTTACGAGGCTGAAGTCAGTTTCTCGTTCTCCAGCTTCTCGTTCGAATTTTCCTGTTCCACCCTAAATGGTGCTTGAGGCGCCAGAATGTGTCTGCTGCACCATTTACGGTGGAACGGGAAAATTCAAACGAGAAGCTGGAGAACGAGAAACTGACTTAAGCTTCACATTTTTTTTAGTGTTTGACGGTTTCTCGTTGCAGATTAAATGTATCAGGAAACCAGCCGGAGTGAATATAAATGCATTCTATTCGTCTCCAAATTATCGATGTTCATCTTAAATCTTTCTCTTTGCCTTTTCGTTAGCTACTATCTAGGTGAACTAGCAGTTATAGGCTACATTAATTCCAGCATTTAAGATCATTTATTGTCAAAACTGTGTTTGAGCGATCAGCAGAGCTTTATTTTATCGCAAAGGAGGATTATTTTATTTTTTACCTGGAAATCTAATTCCGATGTGGAGCCGCAGCCGGCCAGTAAAAGAGCCGCAGGTGGCCAAGCCTTGAGCTAGCGTATGGAAGCACTTTTGCTTCTATGGATTTGAAGGGGAAAACCATATTATATGTTTCCATCAATTTTCTGCCCCATTGTAGTTGCTGCCAACCAGAGGACCATCGATCAAGCGATGTCAAAACTTCCACCCAGCTCGGAAAGAATGTAGCAAACTGCAAATTCTATCACAACTTTTATTGCCAAGGATTTGCATCCTATGCAAATAATTAATAATAAATGTTCGGTGTTGTTTCATTGTTTTACTGATGCTGGCTGCTGCACAAAGTAATCCAGGAAATCCAGCAGTGCATTACAGTAGTATAAACAACAAAATATTGCAAAAAAAAATCAACCTCCTAACATTCCTGTGGTGATTAGGTTAACACTACTCTCTCTCTCTCTCTCTCTCTCTCTCTCTCTCTTCTGCAGGGTTTAGATGGTAACCCTGGTTTTAAAGGTCTTCCAGTGAGTTTCACTCTTACACATGAACACACTTTTTTCCTTGTTGTTAAAATTAATATCAGAATACAATTAATTAAATGTGGTATCCCTAATTAAAAAATGATTTGTCTATATATAATTATTATTGGTTTTTTTTCCTGTAGGGAGACCAAGGGAAGTCCTTACCTGGTGAGAAAGGAGACGAGGTAAGGTTAGGGTTGGTGTGGATGTCTATGTTAAGGTCAAGGTTAAAGTTGTATTTTTTTTAATAGTATGTTTATAAATTTAGAACACAAGGGGTTTTCCCAGACCATGGACAACCAAATTTTCTATGTTTTTGAAATAAGAGTTTAATGTAGTACATTCACAATAAGAGTACATCACAGCAAACCAATAGGATATAAAAATAAGTTGGTTAGTTAGTTAAACTAAGATGTCAGTAAAATTATGGTGTCTAATGGTGTACTTCGTGTGATTCAAAGGGATTCTCAGGGGACCAAGGCCCTCCAGGACCTTATGAAATAGTTGAGCCCCCAGAAGAGTATTACCCTAAAGGAGAAAAGGTAAAATTGACCTGATGGTGAGTTGTCACATCTGTAATTGACCTATTCTTGCTCCGCCCTTACAGTCATATGCAAAAGATTGAATACCAGCATGTTTTATTGAAGTGAAAATAAGTTAACACATCCTCTACAGGTAACAAAGTTTTTGGTTTTTTTTTCTGCAAATTTTAATGCATATTGTCTATTTATTTGCTGAGTTTATTATCTCTGAACTTTTGCATAGGCCATATTTTATGTTTTAATTTTTTCCAAGATGTTAAATTCAGCAAATTACAGCAATTATGCATTAACATATGTTCCCTGTGCTGTAAAAACATTGTTTGGTCAGTAAAGTTTTTCCCAACAGAAGGCTGGTGAAAATCTTATTCAACCTATATGCAAATTGTAGCACTTTGTTAGAATGCCTGCATTTTGGCTGAAATTCTGTGTTGTTTTGTCCTTTATATGTGTCTCCTTACCAGTTTCGATTAGCTACGAGAACAAAGCCCAGATCTGTAGCATAATGGTGTAATTCTAAACAAACATTGTGGTGGTCCAGTGTTATTTTTTTTTTAACCGAGAGCTTGTACTCATTTTCTTCTTAAGCTTCTCAAATCTTGAGTTAAATAATCTTAAGATATTAAAACCTAATACATTCAGTCATGTCTGTTTTTGCCCCTTTTTTTATAAAGGGTTAAATGTTATTTGTCATTGCACTCCCACTAAAACAAATAAATTTATTCACCTTTGTTTTCCCCAAAAACGACTGTGAAACATAAAGCACTGAAATTGCTTATAATCTGTTATTTACTTATTCATCATCTTTATTTAGTAACGACTGTATTCTAATATGCAAGTTAGGTAATTATGAGAAAGTAGACCTGCACACAAGACATGAAAGTGGTTAATTAAGAATCATGACAAGAATTGACATTGGTCACTGAAAAGTGGATGAGTAGATGGATAAATGGATATATTTATGGATGCAATAAACAGATGTATGGATTCTCTTAGTGGATGTGACCAATCATAATGTTTCTCTTTAATAAGGGGAGCAAAGGACAAAAAGGACAATGTGGACCTGATGGCATTAAAGTAAGTTGGGTGTGTGTGTGTGTGAGTTGTCTGCTGTTGTCTGATTACCTGTGCATTTTGAAATTCCATGTAAATATTCATAGCAATGAAAAAACGTTTCTAAACTTCTTCTTATTTATTGTACTTTATTTGTGTATTTGTGTACTTTATTAGTGTTCCTTTTTAAAAGAAAGAACCATTTGAAAATGTTATGATTTTATGTTGTAGCCATGTGGCAAGGGGCACATATGCAGATAAGTGTCACTCATGGTCATCACTAGTTCTCCTAGAATTTAGACGGCCATGATTGGTGCACAGTTCAGCCATAACCTCTGTACATTGTATGATAGTTTTACCCACTCCAACTCTGATATATCACAATAGTTAGTTTATTTTCTGGTTCGTTACACCTGACCCAGCACTTTAAGGTTTTAAAATTAGCTTAGAAATCAAATTAGTGCATTTTTAGAAGAAATGTGGACATTTTTTTTGTTTGCATCACAACCATGTTAATAGGAATATACTTTGCACTTCAGCCTCATTTTGTTGTTACTCTGTTTAAACAATTCATAAATAAGCCCTTAGCAATCCGAGTTCCATTCTGAATGTGTCTGCATGCTCTCACAGAAACTTTTGCAGTGCATCCAATTGTGCATTGTGTTTATTTTATATAGCATTTGAAAACAATGCAGCACACGGAACATGCTGATGCATTTTACTATGCCCATTGTGGACACATATGAGTCATCATTAATCTGGTGGCAGATTTAAAGGGGAAATTGTTAAAGTCTCTCATTGTATCATTTTTGTGACTAAATATTTTTACTGAGATATATTTGAAAAATATATTGCAGCTGAAATTCACTTAAGAGCAAAAAGCAGTCAAATACATATATATGCATAGAAAACCATGTATCTCCATTTTTGTTGATTTTTATTTTTCTACATCATTTCAACACACCAGCTGTCCGTTGTGTAAAAATTCCATAATGCATGGACCAATAGAAATGCTCTAAAAAAAAATATATATATATATATATATATATATGTATATATATGTATATGTATAATATAATATAAATTTATATACACTTTTAACATAGTAGAAATATTGTTCTAAGAGAATGGGCACTGATGTTAATTGATGTGTTAATTGATGCAGGGAACTGACAGACCTCCTGGAGAGATGGGAGAGAAAGGCATCAAGGGGCTTCCAGGAATTAGAGTGAGTCTGGATTTTTGTTATCCACACCAGTCCATGAACTATTCAGTTGTATGCCATACTTGTAAATTTGGGGACCCTTTGCCACATTGCATATTTTGTTAACTTTTGAAGTAAAAAGAAGTCAACCCAACCTCTGCAAGCAGACTGTTAAAAAAAATAGCATTTTTCTGCAGACATTAATGTATAGTTACTTTATATTAGATTAATTAGTTTTTTTATTGACTCATTAGGATTAGTTAAGCATGTCAAGAATTGTCAGCTGATGATAATAAATTCTCTGACTCTTCAAATCATATGCTAACACTAAACAAACGACCATGTGTTCCGCTAAGCAGCTGGCTGAAAATCTAAAAATGCAAAAAAATGTCAAAGCGCTTCCAGCTCGCAATTTGAAAGATGAGACAAGAATATTGCAGAACTCTGAAAAGCTTTACCAGGAAGAGTGGGTCAGAATTGCTCAAACAAAAGTAGAAAGACTCATGGTTGGCTTTTTAAGCTAATCAAACTTGCGTTTACTTTTTTCACCTCAATCAACAAACCTTTGCATACAACTGTACATCAGAACATCAGGAGTCCTAGCAGTGGTTTATGCAGGGAAGGGGTTCTGACATCAGTTGTTTAGTCGTTGTGGTAATAAAGGATTACAAGGTTTCATCTGTGTTTTACTCATAACACACTCTGACTTGTTTAAAGGGACCTAATGGCAGTCCTGGAAGTACTGGCAGACGAGGAACTCAGGTACTGTGCAGTATGTGAAAGCATGTGTGTGCATGTGTGTGTAATCATACTTATGGTGAATTTACTTTCTTTTTGTGCTTACAGGGAGAACCTGGTAGCCTTGGCCTCCCTGGTCTTATTGGCAACCAAGGGATAAAGGTTTTTTTTTTTCTCCATCTATTTGCTAAAAATAATTCCAGGTTTTGATCATATTGTAATGTTGTAGATAAGTGATTTCACTAATAGTGTGTTTGTGAATGTGTGACAGGGACTCTCAGGTGATCCTGGTCCTCAAGGCGTGACGACTTATCTTTACTCTAATGTTACAGGTAGTATATTCAGTTTGCATGTATTGCACATGTCTACCAGTGCAAAAATTAGCTCACTGCTGTGCTTTCTCTGGTCAATGTTGTTAACCCTTAGAAGTCGAAGATTATTCCTATTGTTTTGCTATACTATTTAAATGTAATTAAGTAAATAATTACAGCTGGTTATGTAGTGAATTACACTCAATTAACAAAGTATTAAAAAAGTTCAAAATGTGCACAAACAGATTTGTGGCTGCATTTGCTTCAATGTTAGTGGCAAACGTGTTAGAAATGGAAAGGATGGCTTTTCTTTCTGCAAAACAAGACTTTACTTACAACAATCAAAATATTCTATTGACTGAAATTTAGAATGTGCATTTTTGATGGAATTTCTCATTTCAAAGAGCTAGGATGATGAGCTATGTAACTGTGACTTCTAAGGGTTAATGTGGGTTTTTTTGTGTTGTAAGTTTGTGGGTCTGTCTGGCTGACCACTTTTGGACCACCTCCTGCATTTCCAAACAGCAGAGTGACTGGGCTCAGTCTATTCATTTCAACCATTTCAAGGGATGGGCTGCAGAGTATAGAGAGGAATTTGTGCTAAATCACTATACTGGAAAAATGCAGTGCACATGACATCACTTTTCCATAGTGACCTGCAGAGATGTGCCAAAATAAAAAAAACCTTCTATTGCATTGTTTTCATGCTGCTTGACCTCTTTACTGAAAAAAAAACAGTCCATGAGAATTTGCGTTTTAAAAACTAAAGGCTGAGAAAATCTGTTAGAAGTACTGCATGGTAGAAAGCAGTATAACCATGCCCTCCTTACAATTTAAAGTTCGATTAAATTCTGACATGAATTCGGCATTTTGTTTTTCAATAAAAGAGGTCAAGTGATGTAAAACAATGTAAAAGGGGGTTTGTTTTTCATTTTGGCACATATTCTGTGTGTCACTATTTAACAGTAATATCATTTGTGCATTGCATTTCACATTCTTCCATATTTTGTTGTACCAGTGCTGCTGCTGCATGTTGCTTCCATCCATCCTACTGCTTTATTCCTGCTTAGGAGCCATGCAAAAGAACAAGAATTCTCTTTTCAGCCCACAGTACACACACGCACACATTATCTAAGCCGCTTCTCCTCCTGGGTCGCGGGGGTGCTGGAGGCATTGGGCAGCAGGCAGGAAACACCCTGAACAGGCCACCAGTCCATCACAGGGCAGACACACAGACGGATACATTGACAGAAACATTCACACCTAGGGGCAATTTAGCACCTAGCCCACAGTACAAATTTGCAAATTTTGATTAATTGATTTTAAGGAGATCTCTTTTAAGGAGACCACTTTTTGATTTTTCTTCCCCATTGAGTGAAGTTCTTCAGCATTGTCAACCTTGACTGAAAATTTATCACACCTGGTCAAACTGTAGTGGAATAGACCTGAATCCTTATCGGAACAGTAGAGAGAAGCAACAATGTCTTTGAAACTCTTGAAATATTACTGTACATTTTTATAATTGAAAACATTTCTGCAAATAATTGTTCTCTGCAGAGGGATAGAATGGTGTGTGATTTTTGTGCTTTTGAATGCTTCAGGATCTGATGGAGATCCAGGACCTGTTGGGCTCAGTGGTCCCAAAGGAAACATGGGCGAAATGGGCATGCCTGGCCTGCCTGGACCCCCTGGAATATATGTACCAGGTATGTGAAAAGGGGACTGATTTGTATGCTTTTGTTATTGGTGTGTTAGTGTACATACAATAATGACATCAGCTCTGTCTCTCTCTCACTCTCTGTCTCTGTCTCTCTCTAGCTTCCTTGGGCTTTAAAGGGTTAATGGGTTTTACAGGGCCCAAAGGTCAAAAAGGAGAGCGTGGACAGAGAGTAGGGAGCATCATAACCCTCGGGGAGCCTGGAAAAGATGGACTCCGGGGGCCAAAGGGAGTTCAAGGACACAGTGGCATCCCTGGTGAGTGGATAGGGAATGGGCAAGAAGAAAAAAATGTTCATCCTTTGTTTTTCTTATTTTTTGCATCTCCATGATTTTCTGTGCACTGTTTAATGTGTAAAAGTCACTGTTTTTTTAGTATTTCTCAGTATCAGTCTAAGATTAGCTTTAACATCTTAGAAGTCGCTGTTATCACTGGTTACAGTGATAAAAGTGTGGTAATGTGATAAGAGTTTGATGTAATTTCATACTAATTGCTTCTCAGTGTTAGCTACACTTGTGTTTTTATATTTAATTCCAACAACAAAATGACAGTTATAACACGACTGCTAAGCGTTGATGAAAACAGGTTATTTTTGCTGCTTTATTTCCATATGTGGTTTTCCATGATACGTGTCTCTTAAAAGGGAAGTCCTTATTGATGTTTTGAACAAATCAAATAATTCCAGTGGTATTATGAGGATCAGGACTTTGTGCCTTTTTTTGGCATGTGTAACCAACATGGCTCACCATGCCTGCATTCCTCAGAATAAAATGTCACAAATTCAATGCACAATTGATTATATTTCCCATTTAGATTTTAGTGTGCTATGCAATATACATACAAAAAAAAAACATTAATCGTCATCAATTTGAGACAACGCAGTCATGATAGCGCAATGCAGACTGTTAGAGAGTCGGAGATGGAGAAGTTTCCAAGGGCACTTTCACACCTGCCTTGTTTGGTGTGGACCTACCAGACTTTTTCTGTAGTTCTGCTCAGTTTTGACATCTGTGAAAACTTGCAAGTGACAGTTTAACCTGTGACAGTTTAAGCTGTGAAGTAAAATAATAATAAAATCTGATTTTGGCTCATAGATCGGAACGTATTTTTGGCCGAGATTCTGGGACGCAAATTTTGGGACCAGTGATAGAACCTTAGTGGACGATCTGATGTTTTTCAGGCCCTGATTCTCAGGTTTTCAGTGTCAGCACCTAAGAAAAGAAAAAAGAAAATTGCATTTAAAAAGTTGATTTTAGTTTCCTGTGGGCTGCTATGCTTTGTATTTATAAACAAGTGCGCCTTGGGATGGAAAGGGTTGAGAACCCCTGGTCTAACTGACTTAACTGCTGTCTGCTCTTCATATAGTGATACTAGAATAAGGACAGACCCACTGATCTTTGCCCTTATTTTATTGCTTCCCTCATACATAACAAGTAGCTATACAAACTTACATTCTCTTTATACATACAATGATTTCATTATTATCTGCCAGTGTCATGTCTATTTGCTTGTTTTTTTTTGTCTCTGTTTGTCTAATCTCACATCATCATTTTGTGTGGACAGTACATTTTAATAAACACAACCTTTGCTAAAATAACATTACCTAACATAGTTTTTTTGAGCAATATTGTTAAAAGACTATAGAGTTTTAGAATTGTTCATTACTTAAATATATATCTTTCATTAGTGGCATCTACTATATAGTAATCTGTTTCAGAATGACAAATGCTTTGTGAATGTTATAACAAGCTTTATCATGGGTTTTGCAGGTGATATATCTGAAGACAGGTGATATATGAAGACTAACTAAACTTTGTCTGTTCTTCTGCGTGCGCGCATATGTGTGTGTGATGTAGGCACCAAATGCATCCCTGGTCCCAAAGGAGATCGTGGAGAAAAAGGAGACAGGGGTCTGCCTGGGCTGATAGGTGATAAAGGCAGAAAAGGTGAATATGCACAAAGATCAAATGACACAACCACATGCACAATGCAGTGGCCAAAACGAAACCAAAGTTCAGGACACACTTGGTCAAGCTAATAAATTAAATCAGTTAGAAATCAGTCAGTAATTTAAAAATAACTGGTCTAATATCCCTCATAAAGCCTTAGAATAGTTCCACACAGTCAGCATTTTAACTGTTGTTTTGCTGGTGCATAAACACATCTGTGTTGATAGGTGCAGGACAGTGAAGAAAACAGCATTTTTAATTACACTTTTAATTACTCTCATTATCGCTAAAGTTATTTATTAAATGTTACATTTTTACACAATTGTAGAGCTATTTAATATTTTGCTTTTTCTAAGATATACACTTTTTGTGTCACAATATTTACCTAACCTTTTATCACAGTTTTTGGTATACAATATAGTTTTGTATATACAACTCCATTTCCAAAAAATTTGGGACGCTGTGCAGTATGTAAATAAAAAAAGAATGCAATGATATGCAAATCACGTGAACCTGTATTTAAATGAAAGTAGTACTGAGACAACATATCGGCTGTTGAAGCTGAGAGATTTTATTGTTCTTTGAAAAATATATGCCCATTTTGAATTTGATGTCAGCAACACATTTCAAAAAAGTTGGGATGGGGGCATGTTTACCACTGTGTTGCATCACTTCTTCTTTTAATATCACTCTGTAAGTGTTTGGGAACTGAGGAGACCAGTTGCTGTATGTTTTGAAAGTGAAATGTTTTCCCATTCTTGCTTGATGTAGGATTTCAGCTGCTCAACGTTTCAGGGTCTCCTTTGTCATATTTTTTTGTTTCATAATGCGCCAAATGTTTTCAATGGGTGACAGGTCTGGACTGCAGGCAGGCCAATTTAGCACCCAGACTACAGAGACATTCTGTTCTAAAACATGCAAAATGTGATTTGACATTGGCTTTCTAAAATAAGCAAAGCAAGCCTTCCCTGAGTCGTGGGCTGGAGGTAAGGGAACCAGCCTTGTGACCAGAAGGTCGCCGGTTCGATCCCCTCAGCCGACAGTACGTGACTGAAGTGCCCTTGAGCAAGGCACCTAACCCCCAACTGCTCCCCGGGCACCGTGGATAGGGCTGCCCACCGCTCTGGGGAAGTGTGCTCACTGCCCCCTAGTATGTGGTGTCACTGCACGGATAGGTTAAATGCGGAGGTCTAATTCCGATGTGTTCAGACACGGCTGGTTAAAAGGTTCATTTCATTCGTTCATTCGTGTATACGTTTCATATAGGTCTATTTGCAGTTAGAACTAGCGTTGAGAACTCCCACCATAGAGCACTGCAGGCCTTTCTGGGAGCTGGGCCAACGTAAATTAAATAATAGGATATCCTAGTCATTTCTGAAACTTACATTACATCGCATCTGTTTCAACAGTCCTGTAGTTCTAACCAGTGACCCTCCAGTTGCTCGCTTGCTTCTTTTACCACTAAGCTATCTTGATGAATGAGAGTAGGTGGGCATTAGTTAACATTTTAATATTTTCATAATATTAACTGACTCCTGCTAGCTCTTTCAGATGTTTTTTGGATGAATACTCCTAAAGCAACTGTCTGTGGTACTCAAAAACCTTCCCTTTGTTGCTTTGTGCAGTGGTGACCACAAGAGGGCATTATATTTCCATTACATTCCTCTATATTTAATTGTAGATGAAGTTCCAGATATATTTAGTTTTTAAGTGTCTTTGTGGATGCTCTTCCTGGCCAGTATTGTTAATACTGATATACTAGTATTTGTGTCACACTGATTGTCAGTATCAGTGGTATTAATAGACAGTGAGCTGTAGAAGTATGATGATGTATTATGGTTATTGTGATCAATTTAATCACCATACACTTTTCTGAGCATATCATGGATATCGTCAGTACGTATGATCTGTTTCATTACAAAGAGAGCAATATTAGTCATGTTGAATTTGATTAAGTGCAGCATATCTTGTGAAATATTCAATGAAAGTACTTTTATTTATTTATTTTTTTGGTAGTATTTTCTGTTTGTGACCTGACTCTTGCTTTTTTGCCAGTTTCAACTTATCAAACCTAAGAAAAATTAAATCTCATGTATCTTGAAAGTACCTTGTCACATCGTATGAAGTATCCAAACCCTAACTGTACCAGGGGAACCAGCCTGATGTCTGGAGAACACCTAGCCAGCCAGTAAGACAATGGGATGATGCAGTTTTATAGCTGGACTGATGCCAAGATTAGGTCCAGCCTATACATGACAAGTGACAGGTGTGACCGTGTAGGGATAAACAAGAATAGGCAGAAGAGTGTAAGGGTTCAGCCGGCCCCGCCTGCTGCCGGCAGAGGGCGACGGCGGCAGGGTGTCCAGCCTGCGCCGCCTGCTGCCAGCAGAGGGCGACGGCGGCGGGGTGTCCAGCCTGCGCCGCCTGCTGCCAGCAGAGGGCGACGGCGGCAGGGTGTCCAGCCTGCGCCGCCTGCTGCCAGCAGAGGGCGACGGCAGCAGGGTGTCCGGCCTGCGCCGCCAGCTGCCAGCAGAGGGCGACCGCGGCACAGGGCCATAACTTCAGGGAACTCTCTGTCCTCTCGCCTCTCTAGTTCAGCCTTTGTTTGAGCACGCTGCTCTCAGCGTCTCTTTTGTTTGCCGTTCGTCATTTTCCCGCCTTTTCTTTTCCCCCTTCCTTGAGGCGTTATTGCCAGTAGTTACCTGTGCTCCTCAGTGGCGCAGTGGCAACGCCACGAAGCGCCGATCAATACATCGTCGGTTCGAACCTGGCTTTGGGTCACCTCAGGTGCATGTTTCGGATTCACAACCCAGTATCACAAACAACTCATTTTTTCCATTTTTTTTTCTGTTTCCATTTCTGCACTTGGGTCCGCCTCCCCGCCGTCCCGTAACAGAAGAGAATATTCTAAATACAGTCACACACAATACAGAATATAATGACATATAACACAGCACTGAACACTTTACAGAGCAGTACATTTCTACATTCCCCCTTAGAACATACTCTAAAATGTATGTTCTCACAGTGTAATCAGTCTATCCTTTCCTCTTACAGAGAAATGTGGCCAGTATTTCCCCCTTTCTATACATCCTAAAGATGGGTTTCAGTCTGCATACAGGCAAATTGGGGAAATTAAGTGTTTCCATGTTTATAAGGAACACCTATGCTGGTGTAGTTTAGTCATTTAAGCACATAGAGTAATTTTGAGGCAAATGTAAATAACAATAACTACTATTTTATAGCTATGAACTATAAAGTTGTAATTAGTGAGCTTTCAGCATTTGTATTGTTTGTACTCTATTTGACTTTAGACATCTAACAATGGGCAATGGCCAGCTATCTTCACTTATACCATCTATCATCATTTGTGCTATTATTCTCATGGGTTCAGAAGCGGAATGATCTGCACAAACAGCTTGTACAGAAATATTAGACACCGATCACATAATAGCGGTGATGCAAGGCATGACAAACAAAACAACTATCTCCTCCTAAAGTATGATTTTGTGCCCACAGGATCGCCTGAGCACAGACCATGTTGTGGTCACAAACATCCTCCATCATGCCTGCAAAAGCTATTGTCAGAATGTTTATGAAAACTACAGGTTTCATTCTTTTTTGTTCCCTTTTTGTTATAAACAGTCCTTTATCATGTAGCTTGTTGCAGTGGTAGCTGTCTTCTCTTCCAGAATAGAGGGAGCAAGTGTTGATATGTCCAAAAAGCCTGCAGGGCAGAGTCAGGAGAGCTAGTTAGGCTTTGCTGTTAGTTCCTCGGCCACCAATCAGGAACCTGTCTCATGTCCTGTTCCTTCGTCCCTGTCTCAGGTTTGTTCTGGCATATCCTAAAAACAAAACACAGACACAGTGGCAGTATCGTGTTCTTCTTACACAAACCATTTCATATACCCTTGTGTAAAGGTTTGGTTTAGTCATTGTCATGGATACCTACTTTCCCTACCTAACGTGGGTCCTGGCCTCTGGTGGGAATAAGGGAGTGCTAGCCGCAAAGGGGAATTAGGAAAATCTTCATGCTGAGGGTAACCCCCATGACCTAAATATCACAGTTCCTCCTCAGAGTATCTCCCAACCAGAGTCACCCATTCAACCCCTGTGCTAGCCGTCACCAGCAGGTGGTGGTTCCCACATATCCCTTTTTTTCCCTTGACACTTTAGAGCAGAGGGTGTGGTGATGAGGCCTTGATATGGATCTTCTCATTTTGGCCCTAATGGCGGCGTCTTAACCTCTTGTCCAATAGACAATAGGGTGACCCCCCTTTGTAGGTTCTTATGCATCCAACACCTGTTTCTTAGCAGCTGCAACAACTTCAGATAAAGTTTGACAGTATTGCAGTAGAACTATCAGACATAACATGTATGTCTGCAGCTTTCATAATAAGCCGTAGTTGTGGCATTTGCCATGACAAGACATTAGCTTTTAATATTCTTTAGCAAGAACACAGGTGATCTGGCAGTCTACCCGTAGCTATTTCTACATACTGCTTTCCGACAGCCCACACTGTGTGTTGTCTGTTGTCAAGAACGTTGGAAGAACCATCTGTGAATAAGACAACTTTAGCATTTGACAAATGCGTTTTGCATACATACTTTGCACAGAACTAGAAACCAGCGTTTCAGTCATGATGAGCTGAATCATATTCCAGTTCCACCAAATGACTGCAAATAACATTTACAGGTGCCCTTTTGATCGCTAAATTTGGGGCAGTTAAAACTGCAAGCCAGTTACCCCACCTTTGTGCTGTCACTCAAAGAATCTTGTCATTTAAGAGCAAAGAGGAAACTCAGTGTGGACATTACAGTGAGAACAAGATCCATAAAAATAGGAGCAACAGCTAAAACATACAGATGGGTTGCCTGGGTTGCTCTCAGGCAAGGTGACATTCCTAGCATGACCATGTCTATTTTAGGAGAGTAACAAAACATAGACCTCTCTTTGTCACCATGATTTTGAGTTAAACAGCTAGACACAAACCCTGGAGATTGCAAAACATACAGAGTGAAAGGTAGTCCCATGTTCACTAGGCCTAGGGCACTGCGTAATGCAGATTTAGGAGAATGAAAAGCTCATAACTGATGATCATTTAGCTGAAACTCAGGTTTCTGATTTTCTGTTAGATTGTATAGTGGTTAAGCAGGTTGTCGCATAAACATCAATTCAAGGTTGTCAACAATTGCACAACAGTCAGGTAAAATTGAATCCTGAGCCTGTAAAACCAACTGTCCTAAATATTGAACAGAGGACTGATTAATATTGGCCTTTTTTATATATATATAATGCTTTGTGTCCTAACGAATGTAGGTAATCTAACAAATCTAGCAAGTCACGTTCATGTTCCTCTGCATTTGAGGAAGCTACCAAAATATCATCTATATCTGGCTAACCGATCACATAGGACTTGATGATAAATAGCAATAGGATTATGAAGCCCTTGTTGGGAACCTATAGTAAAGCTAGCCATGGTTGGTAATCTTCATGCAAAAGCACTGATCAAAATCCATTTGTCATATTGAATACAGAGAAAACACAATGTTCAGGACACAACCCATTAAATATTGTGGATGGATGCTCCTTGGTATTCAGGCAAGGAAAACCCAGTCAGTTTGACATGTTCAACCTTTAGTAAGCCACAATCTGCAAGAGATTTAGACCAATTTAGGCATAAAAATAAAACTAAGACCTTGCCCCATGATCTGATTGATGACACCTAATGCCACCATGACAACACAAGACAACCATAAAAACTTGCACAAACCCCAGTGTAGGGCAGAGGTCAGCGCTACTTTGGGCTTTTAAACACAGCTTCACTTGTATCTGAAGCTTCTCATCTAGGGACCATATTTTTTCTGGATAAACAGGCACTTTCTTTTGATAGTATTTGTCCAAACTAGATGAGTCTATATGTTTATATAACTGTTCATCCACTCTGACAATGAAAACATTATCAGACTAATCAGGTGCCACCCTACCACCCCTCTGTGTGGTAGACTTCTCTCCTGCCGTGGGCTTACGGCAACACTACCGCAGTCTTCCCCTCCGTTCCGTCAACGAGAGGAGGATAACCTACTATTTTGCCATCCAATAATGAGCATTATATTTATGTGTACGCTAGTGTCCTTGTTGACAAGATTTTTTTACTTTGATTTTAGTTTTTAAATTAGGTTAGATTTGTAAATTGTAAAGCATGTCCAGATTGTAAAACATTCTTTTAGGAATGGATTCATTAACTTTATTATTACTAATTTATTTATCAGCATACCATGATACTGCAATATATGTGGAAATAATACATTTTACCAATATTACCCAGCACTAATTTATGTATGTATGCTTCTGTTCATAAGGGTTTGTCTGTGTTTGTGTTTTTTAGGTTACAGCGGTTTGTGTGCATGTGAGCCCAGCCCTATGGTTGGCCCTCCAGGTCACCGAGGTGACCCTGGTGATCCTGGTTACCCAGGAGTGCGGGGGCCTCCTGGTACACAAGGTGAACATGGTCTCTCTGGAGACATGGGACTGGAAGGATTACATGTGAGTAAACTCTCCTCACAGTGTTTGTGTGCGAGAGAGATAGAGAAATAAGAGAGGGCAAGTCAAGTTAAAGAGTGTTAGTATTAAAAGAACGCATTTGTTTATATCATAATGTCTTTCTGTCATAAGGCATCTGTGTATCTTGTATGATGACGTTCATACAATGATGTTGTACGTTGTGTTTCACAGGGTTTTCAAGGGGTTCAAGGTATCAGAGGCAGCAAAGGAGAAAAAGGAGACTTATATAAAATGGACATCAAGGGTAAGCCATACATAGCACACAGCTTAAACATTGTCCTGTAAGTGTTTTTAAAAATTGTAAAACAATGTGTTTCTTATAATATTTAAGGTTGCAAGGGAGATGCTGGACCAGAAGGCAATCCTGGTGTGCTTGGATTGATTGGCAAGGGAGGGGAGGATGGAAGGCCTGGTCCTCCTGGAGATACTGGTCCAGAGGTCAGTTATCAAGGGGTCACAGAGAAGGAGTTTACTGCTGGTTAGCTCTAAGCTGCTTTTGGAGTTTTACTCAGTATACCTGAAATTGGCTGGGCTGATCAATGGATACATCAGTAGAGAATGAGAGTGCAAACAAATTGATTGTTCAGTAATATGAGTATCTGGTATCTGTGTAGGTGTGCTGGCTGAAATATGGAAATGATTGACACAAGACATCATTCACACTCAGTGCTATTCCTTTTTTCAGGGTGACAGTTATCCTGGTCCACCTGGTGATAGAGGGTTTCCAGGTAGTCTTGGTTTTAAGGGCTGCAAAGGTGCATCTGGATCACAGGGTCCAGGAGTACCTGGACCATTAGGTCAACGCGGGGAAATAGGAGACCCAGGACCCCCAGGACGGCCAGGAAGTTGTGGGCTCAGAGGGCTTAAAGGTAAGAGCCAAAGGTCATATGTCAGAGTAGTATCTCAAGGAACGTTGTCAAGCTACTGTTTTTATGTGAAAAAGAGTTTAGAGTATATAACAATTTGTATTTATTGTTTGGTCTGGGTAAATGGGTGCACTTACCTAAAAAGACTCTTAAAGCAACACTGTAGAAGAACCATTTTGCTTCTCCAGAAAAACCTTTTAATGGAAAGTTTTAATAAATTCATCATCTTCATCTTGCTCTCTGTGTAGGTGATAGGCCACCCTATAGACCTAGCAAACCCGGAGACCCTGGACCTAAGGGAGAGATTGGTGACAAAGGTGACTAACTATAACAACTGAATGAATATCTCTAATGGCAGTTATTTCTGTCATTTTGCTATACTCTAGAAATGGAATTACACAATTATATTATTAATTAAGGAGTTATATGAAGATTTACATATGATTAACCTTCTGGATTAAGTCTGCTTCTTGTTTTTTCCAATTGTTTTAACATCAAGTCGTTTCTGTGCAGTTTTAAGATATTCAAAGAGTAACAACTATGTACTACAAATAACTTTCATATCTTAACAAAGTCATTGCCTTGAGATGTTTTTGACCGTTGAACATTAAAAACCTAGGCTATTTGGACATATCTTTTTCTGAAGTGGACCAAATGTAGATAATACCTTTTAATTTTGAGAGCTCTTTGTGACACTTCAACAGAATCCAGACGCTCGCGGTGTAAAAAAGGCGAAAGGAGAATTAATGGAATCAGGCAAAAACGAAGTCAAAAAACAAGCAGGGGTCAAATCCAAACAGCCAATACAAAACACAACAATGATAAAATCACTGTGTGAACAAAACCAGGGGGCAAGACAAAAGGGCAAGTCGAAAAACAGTCCAGTAGTTCAAAAAACACAGAACACAAATCACAGGCAACAGTATCCAAAAGGGTAAAGGCAAAAAGCAGAGTCGAGTAAACAAAGCAAAGGGTCAAAAACACAGCAGAGTAAAGATCAGAAATAACGCTCAGTAGGGTTCGGAAAGAAACAATACCTCGCACTGATCTTCCCTAAAGCCCGGGCTTAAAAACTATCCTGTTCTGATCATATGATCTAAAGCACAGGTGCAAATAATCAGTACTCAGGAGAATGAGAGCGCTGATAGGAGCGCAAGATATTGTCCGAAGTCATGTGGTCCCCTTGAGGATCGTGGGAATTGGAGTCCGTATCATCCCTTGATACTGGCAAATGCGTGACACTCTTGTTATGTATTATGTATGTAATTATAAGGTTTTGTCTGTGAATAAACCCAAACTGGATTGAAGGCTTTAGCACACTGTTGAAAATTTAAACTGTTTTGAAATTCATTAAATGAAGGTGAATATAAAGGTAACTGTTTTTAGTGCAGTACAGTGTAGTACATTGTATTACATTCATTTTATTTTCAAATATTTGCACAGGTTTCATGAGCTATGTCAGTATCATCAACATGTTAATCCAAAACAAATCCAGTGGCCGGTTGCACCAGCCGTGCATAAGTTTAAACATAGGCTATTTGTAAAGTGTTTACATTAAGTTAAGGTTCATGCCGTACTAAATCAGAACAAGTTGCACGACACAAACTAGTTACTAAATATTTACACTTCCCCCTGTGTAAGGTGTAAGTTTTGAGGAAGCCATCAGAAACCACAAGCACGAAAAAATACAAAAACATGACATTTTTAGCTTAGCTAAGCAAAAAATTGAAACACTGTATGCTGTGACTTTACTTACAGCTCTGATCACCCTAGTTTTAACTCCAGCTCAGAGAGAAAGCTGCTGAAACGTCTAAACTGAGGCTGCTGTGGTGTCGGTTAGCCAGAAACTGTCATGTAAAACGCTGCATATTTGATTGTCTCAGTGAAATATGAAAGAATAAACAGACAGTGACTGTAGATAATTAGTTTTATTTAGTTTGACTTGTACACATCATTCTCTTCTATGCTAGATATTTTGTTCCATGGAGAAACTCAGCACAGGCTGCTGTCGCCTTACATGGCAGGAGGTTAACTGACTGGTTCTGAACATGTTATCGTCATGTTAAAGCAACGTACGCATTAGTTAGTCGTCAGTAATTAAGACATTACTTACAGATTTGTGGTGCAACCTAATTTGGTAAAAGGATAGTTTGAAACTAGCGTTAACTGAGGACTTACGCAAAACTGGTGCAACCCAGTCGAGATGAGAAGTATAAATTAAGTATCAACTTTTTACCACTATAATTTTTATTAAATTCTTACTAAAATATGAATTCTAAAATTCTACATTTTTTCTTTTTATCTTGTGAGCCAACAACATAGCAAACCTAAACCTAAAAAGTCCTCTAAAAAAATGAATTTTGATATCTTTAATTTTCTCACACTGAGTTGGCAGCAGATAGAACCTTATAGTGCCTACTTGGGAAATACACTTTATGATGCTTTAAAAAAAAAAAATTACCCCAGAAACAATAGTCTGCACTAAATAATTAACTAAATGTGCATAACTCAATTTTGGCAAAAAATGTCAGAGAGAACTAATCTCACATTGATGAAAACTTGGCTAGAATTAAACAATTCTTCTCCTAAAAAACAACTAGACACATAGAAATAACTTTTCATCAAATTTAAATTATAGTAAAATATCTCCACTTCTTGTGGTATTGATTTAAAAGTGTAGAATCTGCACTTTCCAAAGAATTCCTTCCTGTTTTAATGAATTTATTACTACAAATAACTACTTAATTACTATTTATTAATTATAAGTAATAATGAATTTCAAATAGTATCACACTTTTATCAGTGAGATCCAAAGATTACAGGTATTTGAATGTAATGATTTTATTTTCTATTCAGGTTTTCCAGGGCAGAGTGGTTTTCCAGGCTCCCAGGGGCTTGGAGGACCAACCGGACCCAAGGGAGAGAGAGGCAACCTGGGTGACCCAGGCCCTGATGGCCTCACAGGTAGCCATATACTGTAGAATTACTCTGTCTAAAATTATTTTGTTTCAATTTTGATAGTTTTCTTGCAGTGTTATTACAAAAAAAGGAAAAAGTCTATATGAAATTTTACTGCAGTGCTGCCCGCTCCTTAAACCAGTTTTTAAACCAAACCATGTTAGCAACAAATAAAGCATATTACAGGATAGGCAACCGACAGTGTAGTTGTGTTGTTGAGCATATGATCTTCATGGGTTGAACACAACACACACTGAAAATTCCCCCGAGGATTTCTTTTTAATAGAAAGTAATGTGGCAAGTAACTGGTGCCAGCGGGTCCCAAGAGATTTATCTGTTTGACCGGTAAGGTCACTGGATCTCAATTATCTGAGAGTGAAAAAGTGGAGAGAGAGCATGTTAGACTGTGTTTGTTGTGTTTTTTTTTTGTTTTGTTTTTTTTATATGTTTAGACTTTTTGCACATGTTCATTAATTACTGTTCATTCTAAATCATTCTTCCTGAATTGTTCACTAGTTCAGTTCATTCGTGTTTCGTGAGTGCAGTCTGGCATCACTGCATCACCAAACTGCTAAAACAGATAGACTAAACAGTTCAGCAAGCTGCTGTTGATATTGTAACTACATGACCACTAATTAGGCTCCGTATCATGAACTCATCTGAATGCATTTCAGGAAAATTGTTAATTTAAGAAATTAGGTCCTCCCATCAGCTCAGGCTTTTTCTTGGGCCGGTGAGTAGAGGCAGCTGTTTGGGACAGCCTTGTCTTCTGAGTGATGCCTTCAAGTTACTGGGCTATGCAGCCTGTCCAAATTATGCTGAAGATGGTGGTGCTGAAGTTGGTGGTGAGTCAGTGCTTCAGCACCCTGGATAGCATTGCAGATGGCACATTGCTGTGGTGTCGGGTTGATCGTGTTGGTCACACAATTAAGCAACTAGCCCTCTGTTTGCCAGGAGCACCTGGTTATGTGGGAAACCCAGGAGACACTGGACCCGATGGCTATAGTTGTGATGGAGAGGCTGGGACACCCGGCAGCCGTGGACCTGCAGGGTTAAAGGGACCCACTGGAGACTCATTTCCAGGAGCCCAAGGGCCAAGGGGTCCCATTGGACTTAACGGACGTACAGGGCCTAAAGGGATCTGTGGACCCCCAGGGCCAACAGGTAGTGAAGGTAAGAAGGAATAGTTGTAATAAACATTGTGGGCCATGGAGAGAGAGAGAGTCATGCAAGTCCTCAAAGGTGCATAACCAATTTGAATTAAAGACATTGTTGAGTGTATTGACATTCTTATCTGACATGAATTCAGCCTCTTAATATGAACACATTAGCATATATAAATGTCAGCACTTGATTGTTACTGCATTGTCTCTGAGTTCTGTATCTTGGATCATCCATTGTCATAAGCTAATTTGAAAATATTTTCTCAGTTATTGCCACTTTAGCTGAACTATCCTTTTCCTAGCTTTTTGTTACAAACACTAGTGCACTCACATATGTCCACCTATTCAGTCTACAGTTCATCCCTACTCATCCACACTGAAGTTAAAAACAATGCTTTTTGAAAGCATCAAAATACAGTGTAGCCAGTCAGAACACTTAAAGGCGCACTAGCAGAACAACTAAACTGTTTCTTTCTTACTTGTTTCTTTTCAGATTTACTTAATCTGTTACATGTATTATGTGTAGTGGAATCTTTTATTATAGCTCAAACAGAACAGTAATAAGCTTTAAGGTTTACCAAATAGTTGTGCTGATATTAAAGGAGAGAGATCATGCCACTTTGGTGTGGTGAAGGTGGTGCAGGAATCAGTGACAGATGTGTTACTTAAGAAATTAAAAGTCGTAATGTTCATTTTAAGATATCTAAGTACAACAGTAACAGGAAATTCTACATCAACACAACTGTATAAATAAAAGTGACATCACTCACTGTTAAACAATCTAGAATATAGTTAGGCCTCACAAGGGTTTATTTTAATAAGGGATAGCTAATGTACTCAACAAAAGTGACTGAGAGAAGAGAGACTGGCTAAAACACAGTATATATGCTGTGTGTTTATGCCTTTATAGGCACTGCTGGGGAGCCTGGAGTTAAAGGTAGGAAAGGAGAGCTTGGACCAATTGGGCAACCAGGGAAAACAGGGTTCTGTGGGCCATCTCCAGTACAGTGTGATTGTGGGTTACAAGGCCCCTTAGGGGACGCAGGACCCCCCGGAAACTTAGGATACCCAGGTGAGTAGGCCTACTTCACTGTAAAGCTTAAATATGCATTGCGTTCATAAGTAAAGAATTGTTTATTTTTAAAAACATGTAAATTGGTAGTATTCCGATGATGTCACAAGTGCGCTGCCGCCATTTTGGTAGTAAACGCCACGTTCGTTCAGCAGTACTGGTGCTGTTTGTAATGAAATAACAAAAATAACATGATATCTTGATAGATGCAGCAAAGGCAGTAAAATATATATATATATATTTTTTTTTGTTTTTGTTTTTGTTTTTTTTTTTATATATATATTTTTTTTTTTATTATTTTTTTTTCGGATGACTTTTTTAAATCTCATTTTTAAAAGTGTATCAACTGATATATTTGAGTGCATTGCCTTGATTTTATTTGGTTTGTTGCTGTAGTGATGCACATGAAGGCTGAAATCTAAATGGCTGAGATTTCCCACTGTGTTTCAAGCGCCACGTCCCAAAGTGTATACTAGCACACTAAATAGTACATAACAATAATGCATATACCATTAGTGCCCTCATTAGTGTAGCAGATGAAGTACAGAAGTGTATGCAGCGTTAAATCAGCCAGTGAGAGACACGTTTAACAGCTGCTCTGCTGTGCTTTACATTAGCTGCTCAGTAAACATCATGCGAAAGCTCAAGGTATTTGTTATGTGAGGATGCATTTATTGAGGTAAACTGATGTTGGCTTTGTGTTTGCCAACTTTCGTAATTCATTCTGTGTTTAAGGCACCACATTGCAAGTGCAGCACCATTTAAGGTGGAATGGAAAATTGAAATGAGGAGCTGATGAGTAAGAACTTCAGCTTTATAAATGTGTATGAGTTTACTATTTAAGAGCTTTGACAGCTTTAGTAGCTATTTCTATTAGTTTTTGTAAAATCAAATGGATTGGAATTTTCACACTGGAGATGTGCAGGTTATAAGGATCCAGTCCACCAATCTAAGTTAATCTTCTCTTTGTTCCGCTTTTTTGGAGACTGGATCTAAAGTGTCCACATTTTTTTTAGGTTTTTCATAATCATTCTGATATATTTTGCTCTCTTGCTTTTGGTGCAGTAACGGTGATGAGATGAGCTCTATAAGAGCTCAAAGTTACAGCTTGCTTACCAACAAGGCAGTGTGGTCTTTTTAATGACACAGTCGAATATTATGAATTACAATACTGTCTGCAAAATATGTACCTTTTAATGCAACATTAATATATGAGTATACAACATATTAAAGGATGCTGCAGACAGAGATTAGGTTTAAGAACACTGAAGTATTTCAAAAAGTATAAGTTCAACAGCGGTACATGAAGTGCTTGACTTTGACCCGTTTAACTTGTCAAAATCTGCTCCCAGAGTAGTTATGGTGCTTTGTTAGACCACATTCTTTACATTCCACATAAATGCAATGACAGCAGTGAAACATCACGTAATAAACGATGGAAAGTAGATTAAACAGCAGAAATTAACGCTTTTTGTGTTGACTTTAAAGGGGAATTTCCACTAATTTCTTAAAATTTCTGCATAATTAAATCAGTTATAAGTCATTCAGACTGGTTTGATGTGAAATGCGCCGTTCTAGAGAAACTTACTGAGACAGAATTGTCCACAGTGGTGGGAATAGGAAACAGACGTCCGAAGATAGAATCGTATTCTTTATTCGTATTGCTCTTGTTGTATTATTGTTTTGCTATCCAGGAAAGGGCCCCCATTTAAGTCTTGGTTCCTCTTAAGGTTTCTTCCTCCTCAGGAAGCTGCCTTTGGCTTGCTCCTTTGGGGCTTGGACCTGGATTTTCTGTAAAGCTGCTTTATACAAAGCCTGTTGTCAAAAGCGCTATATAAATATAATAATTTTGAATCTTGACTATTACCATTAGTGACATTACATGTAAAAACTCAGAAGACACATATAGGTCCTCTGGTTGCTGTGCATTTGCAATGTAGACGTTTCAACCATAGGTTCCTATCGCCACCATTGTAAAGAAATTTGAGTTAACAAATTTTTCTAGAATGGCATATTTTACATTGAAATACATTGAATCACTTTGTTTACATATCAAACATTGAATTAGACCCCAGCAATGATTCTTAAAATAATGTTGAGTAGGCATGTCCTTTGAATGCTACCATCACTGCTTGTTTATGTGTGTGCTTTAGGTTACCGTGGTGAAAAAGGATTTTTTGGTCTGCCTGGCCCTGAAGGGGTGGGACCCAAAGGTGTTACCGGAAAGGTTGGACCCCCTGGTTTTAAGGGATCCATTGGTTTTAAGGGCTCCCCAGGGCCAGTTGGTGACGATGGAATTTCTGCTCCTAACGGACAGAAGGGTAAAAATGCTGAGTCAACTTTCTAACACTGTCTTTGAATTCAAGAATCAAACACAAAGAGCAGATATATCTTTCATCCCAGTGAAAGGTCACATTACTAGGATAGGTCGATAGATCAAAAATTAGATCCAGTGGAGATCAGGTGTTGTTTATTTATTTATTTTTTTTTTATGTAATCAAGTTTACGTTAGCAGTGTAGTCCACCTAGTGTAGCATTTTAAACTGGAACTCAACCATAGCAGCCCACAAATTGTGCTCATTAGTCATATATCTATAAGACTTCTTGCCAATTTCTTGCCAGTTGCCAAGGTTCAGAAGAAGGGAAACAACTGAAGAATAATCATTGTTGTCAGTAAAGGAAGCAAGGATGTATTCGACAGCAAAGAGATATTTTGTATGTTAAGGGCTATTCACATTGTGTAGATGATGTCAAGATGTGATATCATTCAGGTTTGCCTGGGCTACCTGGTAGGGATGGTCCACCTGGTGGTTCAGGTGAGAGTGGAAATCCAGGACTTCTTGGCTTAAAAGGAGAGAAAGGGCTTGATGGGAGGACAGGTTTGCAAGGAGAACATGGCTCCAAAGGAGAGAAAGGTACTTCAACAAATACCTTACTCATATAAATGTTTTACATAGATGTACACTGTATGTACATATGTAATTTGTTATATTGCTGTGTATTTCTTTTCCCGGTTTTTTTAATGTTTCTTTCTTTGTGTTTTCCTGTGATCTATATATGGCACTTTTCTTATTTTGTATACATTAGAGACATAAACAGGAATGCAAAGGTACATGACCAGAAAACACTTTGAACTTTGAAAAGCTCATACTAATACTGGAAGGTATGTTAAGACCATGATTTAGTAAAGGCTTGCATGTGTAAGAACTTTTGCAACTTCATAACACCCACAAGCCAATCTACTAAGGAGGATTGCTTGTTTCAAATAAGTAAAATGGCACATACTGTCCTTTTGCATGTTTGCTATAATGAAAGTGGCACGTGAGGTGTTTCTTCCAAAGATTGCAAAATATAGGTTGGTGTAAATGCAAATCAATTAACTTAGCACTCTCAGTACAATTTACTAAGCCTGAAAATAATTTTGAGGATGGCAGTTGCATGTGTGAATTAATACTGTGTGCTTATCTGCTGTACACTTGACATTGTTTCTGCAGAGCTTGATTTTTTTCATAGCTGTATGGACACAAATCTGATCATTTTGAATCAGATGTAAGCCACTTTTATATGTGGGGCTAAATCAGATACATATCTAATTTGTGGCCGTGCAGTTGTCAGATTGAAATTCATGTGTTTTTTTGTATGTTTTTTTTACTGCACATGCTCCAGAATTCAGTGTTAACATGGTATGGACAGTATATGAAATGCTAATAAAACAGAAAGCAATGATTAGAAAATTCAGTTTGACCTGTATTAGATTGAAAACAATACAAAAATACCATAGGAAAACAATACAAAAATACCTTACAAATAGCACTCACAGTCTTTGTTGTAATACATGCAGAATTTATCTTGTTGAAATAAGCATGGGCATCTCTGGAAAAAAAGCATTGGGCTTTGTTCACCAACAGATCTTAAACATAAGTTTCTTCTTAAAACCCACTTACATAGTTTTCATGAAGATTCTGATATTCAACAGTGTTTTCTTATTAGGGATTTGTTCTTAGGTAAGAACAGTTTCTACGCATACTCGAGCACAAAGGTGTGAACAATTTTGTAGTTTAAGAATATGTCATGAATGTGGCAGACTTTTTCCTAGGACTTTTCTCAAGAACAAATTTAAGAAAATGATCAAAATTATAAAGGAAATTATTGCTGAATGAGGCCCATTGTCAAATATTTTCCCAAAAATTGTCCTGTTAATGATCCCTTCACAGATGTGCGAGTTAATCACACCATAGGCATTATTACACCTCCATAGCATACTTTTGAACTTGCTGGTAACAACCTCGATAGTTCTTTTCTTCTTTGGCCCAGAGAACACGATCTATTAATTCAGTATTTAGTCTGAAAGTTGTTCACATATAGCTTCTGCTGTGCGTAGTACAGTCTTAACTTTCATTTGTGGACTGTGTGAAGAATGGTGTTTGTTGACAGTGGTTTGTCAGAATATTCCCGAGCTCCTGAAGTGATATCCATCACAGAAGCATGCTAGTTTTTAATGCGGTGCCGGTTGAGGGATCAGAGGTCACAGGCATTCAGTTGTGGTTTTTGACCTTGCTCTTTATGCACAGAGATTTCTTGTTTTTAGAAAATTTCACAATGTTTCTAGTCTTTTTGGAATGTGTTGCTGGCACCACTTTTAGAAGGAAGGTGTATTTACATCTTGATAACCTAATTTTTATTTACCATCATTTTCCAAACTCCTTTATTTTTATTTTATTTTTTTATTTCACATCATTGACTCAATCTTGTTATTTTGTTTTTTTTCTATCTATGTCTTTTTCAAATACTTACTCTTCAAGGAGTTGGTAAAAGGATGACAGATGCAAATTAAAACTCTGCCAGTTGGTTTGACACATCTAAAAGTGTGTTGTCTTTTCTTCAGGCAAGCCTGGAAATTCTGGCATACCAGGACCAACTGAAATGGTACAAATAAAGGGGAAAAGAGGCCAAGTGGGGTCCCCGGGACAGATTGGCTTCCCTGGACCCAGAGGTGAAAAAATAGCGAATCTGAGTTTTTATAGATGTATTAAATATTCATGTGTATTCTATGATATGCTGAAACTTATGAGAAATTATCCTTTAAAAATACTTAAATGTTATGGTTAAAAATGCTTACGTGCTAAATGACTGGATATCATAGTGCTGGGCGACATATTGTCTGTATACTGCTAAATATTAAATTTTAATTTTAGTCATATTTAGTGAAAACATGACTAAACAGTAAGTTAATGTTTACAGTAATGTGTAAACAAGTGGTGTCATTTTATGAGAAAACAAGGTTTGTAGTGCAAACTTAAATCTGATGCTATAATACCATATGTTTGGACAAAATTGTGATTCTGAATTTCAGCAGTGTCACCCAGCAGTATGAGCTATTGGGAATAGACTCACAGTGTGTTCTTTCTCCCCTGTTTCAGGTGATAAAGGTACAAAGGGTATTCAGGGTTTACGGGGGTACTCAGGGGAAGATGGACCTCCAGGGTTTGAGAATGGCCCTCCGGGGCCGCCAGGTGCCCGTGGAAAACCAGGTGTTCCTGGAGTCCCTGGGTCACGAGGGCCAAGCGGCGTCACTGGATTCCCCGGAACAGCTGGAGATCCAGTAAGTAAATAGGAGGAAATAGGGAGCAGTGCATAGGAGCTTGTTTCCAGGCAGCAATAGCTGAATCAAGTAGGCATTCTTAAATCACTGCTGTTTACAATGCTGAACACAGATGCAGAATAGATCATTCAATCTGTGCTCATCCTTATACAACTTTTGAATAAGGAATTTTGCGCTTCACGCTGTTTATTTAATTTCAATAAGCTGGCATTATTTATGTGTATTTTGACTGTAATCTAATACATATCGCTTTTAATTTGTTTGTTATGTCTTATCAGGGTGACCCAGGGTTGAAAGGGAAAGATGGAACACCTGGCATCTATGGATTCAATGGACCTAAAGGTAGAGTGAATTATAGCTCCCTTTTCCACCCCACCACAAACACACACAGGCTCACTCATGCTCACATGTAGACACACTCACACATACACAAACACAACACAGGTTTTAAAATAACTTGAATGGCCAAAAGAACGTTTATACCCAAACAACACATCCATATATGCTAGTTGAACATCTCCAACCATTAACCTTAACCTTTTAAGGCTAACGCCACCTCTTCTCTGTTAATAAAGTGATTTCTAAACACTGTTGTTACATTCATTTGATATGGAAAGAACGTGATCTAACAATACTAAATATTCTCACGTCTCAAAAAACTTTTTGAACAAGAAAACAAATGAATATAATTCACACATCAGTCACTTTTTATCTTTACTATGATTAAACCAATCTGCAGTAAGTGCTTACTGATCCAAAATGGCCAACCATGGCCAACGTCAATATGCACGTGTGCCTTAGAATTAAGAATTTACTTTGCTAGAACTAAGGGCCTCACCCAAACCATGAAAAATAGCCCTGATCTATTATTCCTCCTCCACCAAACCTTGGAGTTGGCACTCTGCATTTGGGTAGGTTCTGTTCTTCTGCTCTTTTGTATTTATTTGTATAACTGCAAAAGGCACTTACATATGACTTTTGAAATGTGAGTGTCATGCTTATTGGCAACTGCAGAGCACTCTTTAGGGAACAAAAAATGACTCTTCTATGGCATCTCTCCAAATAGCCATCTTTGGTACCTTTTTTACAAACATGGCCACAGCCTCAAATGCCTGCCCTTGTAATACCTGAGCACTTAAATAATACACTCCTTAATACTCTCCACATCCTCAACCCATACCTACACTCTCATTTTTCTGTAAATGAACTTGCTTTATTTCATCAGGTGATAAAGGATATTGTATAGACATACCTGGAGCTCCAGGTCAGAGAGGCCTACGTGGAGATAATGGAAACTCAGGCAAGTATAGCGACATTATTATTTTCTTTAGTGTTTGTGCTTTTAATGTTTATGTACACTCACTGTAAACCCCAAAGTTCACAGTAAATTCATTAACAGAATTAAATAAAGAAAACTAATCCATCAGTTATATTAAAGCAGCAGTTTCCAAACTGTGCTACACATATCCCCAGGGGTACTCTGAATGACTTTGGGGATACGTCAAAAAATTCCAAACATTAACTTTCCTTTAATTTAATTTAATTAGCTAGCCGCACAATAACAGAGATACTACTAACTTCCAGCACAAGCTCAAGCTCTAATAGAGAAAAAAGTGCTTCACTCTGGCCCCTTCTGAGCACCGCTCGTTCAGAAGAAACTGACAACAATAGAGTTAATTTAGTTTAGCACGCCCTGTTGTGTGCATGAATGATGTGAGTGTCCTTTACTACCTGTTGTTAAGGCCTTTGTGATGCTTGTTAGTCATGTACTTAGTTTCACTTCTACATTTAGGGAACCCAAAGTGATTTTTCTATGGCAGGGGCTCTTAACCTTTTTTAGAGTGCGGCTTTTTTAGGGTTAAAAATATTTTGCAACATGTATTGAATGTAATGTTTGCTGGTCAACTAGTTTTTTTTGCAACTACAAGTTATCATTGACAATATATCGCCTACACTTCTGAGGTTTTCAAGTTTGCAGGGTTAAAGTCCACTTGGCATGAAGTTAAATGTGTTTTATAAGGCATATATCTTTACAGCACCACTCTTGCGACCCTGGAATCATGTCGGGACCCCCAAGGGGTTGTGACCCCTAGATTAAGAATCCCTGTTCTATGATATAACTCCAAGAACCTTCCTTTTTTTTTTTTAAAGGAGCAGTGTATAACATTTAGGGGGACCTATTATCAGAAATGGAGTATTGTGTACAAAACCATGTTTTCATTATATCTGTGTATATATATTATATATGTATCACCTGTAACTACGAATTGTTGTGTTTTGGTTATCTTAGAATGAGACCGTTCATATCTAAGTAGGGAGTGGGTCCTCATCCAACAGATACCACCATGTTGCGTTGCCATGTTTCTACAGTAGCCCAGAACAGACAAATCAAGCACTGGCTCTAGAAAGTTTTTTTTTGGTGGCGCTATAGATCCTGTAAGAAAAAACAGAAATCAGTGGTTGCTGCCAGTGCTGGCTAACTGTTTTATGTTCTGAGAAGTTTGAGAGCCCAAATTTTGACAAATGGAGGATCAGTACTTATTTGGCACAAGAAAAAGCAAGGGAGTGTGAATCCTCTTCGTCGAAGAGGCAAAAACATGAAGTGAAACAAAATATGATGCTCTTCTACAAGCAACTGAACTTCCAATTAAAAAGTTTAATTTAGAATAATTTAATTGAATGCATATTTAAAAATATATTTAACAATTTAATATTGTTTGAATGGCTAAACTTTATTTTACTTTTTTAATATTGTAGACAAAAAAGTGCAACATATAATTTCCCAAAACCTTCTGCCTCCTCTTCATTCTCCACCCAAACAGCTCCTATTGGGGAAGAGGGAGATCCAGGGGACGTGGGACCCCCTGGGCCTTGTGGAAAGTCTGGCACACCAGGACCTGCTGGAAATCAGGGCCATCCTGGATGTCCAGGTAGGTACTCACTGCTTTAATTTGAGAAGGTCATCGCAAACAGCCCAGTTTAAAAAATACATTCTTGAAAATAAAATAAGTGTACACTGCAACTGTGTACTATGTAAAGTGAAATAGATCAAAATCTAAGGATGCCTTTCCACAGTATGGTACCGGCTTGACTTGACTCAGTTCTTTTTTGGTTTTCCACTTGGCAAATCTGGCACCTGGTACCAGGTGCTATTTTTGTTATCACCTCCATTGAGGTTCCAGGCGAGTTAAACTGATACCAGTAGGTGGCGTAAGAACGCTGCAAACTGCTGATCATTCGGAGAGAATTCTAACACCCTATCACAGATCACATATGTTAGCGCTACCTAGCCTCTTTCATCACAGTCTTTTGTCTTTCTGCCATCAGCCTTTTCTGAACAAAATTTGTCTTCTTCACGTCAGCAGTTTCATGTGGCGTCACTATGACCACAAGCTTCATTGAGGATGTACTACTAAAGTAGAAAACAAAGTAGCTGATAATAGTAAAGTGAGTAAAGTCAAGCCGTTCCATGCAGTGGAAAGGCATCTTAAGACTTTACAAATATTTGAAATGATCATAAAAATAAGAAACGGTGATTTAAAAATGCTGTTTCCTTTCCTGTGCTGGTCAGTGCAGCCATGTTTGAGCAGCAGCAGAAAAACAGTGAAAAAATACGGCCTTGTGGAACTTTTTTTATGGTTTCTCTGAGGGACAGTAGACAAGCGATTTATAACCATGCCAAGAATACAGTGCTCAAGAACTTTTGAAAGTTTGACATTGCTTGAAAATACAAGATCCCACTGAATATGCAGAATACAGCAAAACAACAGAAACATAGAGGAAGGTCTCTGCTAGCACAAAGGTGCAAAATTGCAAAGTTTAAAAAAAGTAAGATTCAGATTCATTACCTTAAATGGAAAATTGTTCTCTGTTGTCAAGAATTTCAATTTCATTGACAACTACATTGACACATATAGGTGATGTAGCTGTCTAAGATTCCACCTGGTTGCTCTGCTTAGATGTGGTCATTTTGCTTAATATGAGATACATAGATCACCTGTTTGTTTCCACATGTTCTATGTCAGACCTAAGATGATCAATAACGGAAACAAGCAAATACTAAGATAAGTCAGGTTCACCTAGAATAAAGGGTTCTCTAAGGTTGAAATGAAGGTAGAACTTAAGGTAAAATTTTGTCTAGGCCTCATAAAGTCTAGATCTGGTGCTGGATCACAGTAAGCTGTTAATAATTGGTTATTGTATCAACAACTTCATAAGAACAAAATACTGTAATACATACTGTGTATCATGAAAATGTACTTTTACTGTATGATCCACCCCTGGCAAGAATAGGATATATCCAAACACAGTGTAATGTAATAGCTGACTGTGAGACTTGCCATATTGATTTAAGTAAAAATAAAGTCAATTTCAATGTTGGAGTAAATGTTGCAGAGACAGAAAGAGGCCTTATTACATATTGGTAATGGATTCAAAGCAAAAGGCCTGGAACATAATTATTCTCATAATAATTTTTTACTTTAAAATAAATAACTAAAAATGCATGTCTTTCTTTTCTTTTTGTTTCTGTATATCCAGGTGTAGCTGGGCCTCCAGGTCCCTCTGGAAAGTATGGTCCAGAAGGCCCATGTGGTCCTCCTGGAGTCATTGGACCTAAGGGAACCCCAGGCAGCAAGGGCCTTCCAGGTACTGATGAATACACATGCAATCATATAATAGTGACTTTATTGACCTACTGTAATAGCTTAATGCTGTATTTGTTTTTATTAAAATAGCTGCTGTCACTGTCCAGACCTAACCCTGACATTGACAGTAGTAACCAATAAATATTTGGCTGTATTATTTTTCATGTGTAGACACATGCCAGAATTTGTGATTTTATTTTTTTTTTTGATAATATTGAACAATTGCAAACAGGGTATGCTTTTCCATATTAAATCTTTCCAGCCTTTATACAACAAAATGCAAACATAAATGCACGTTTTTATCTTAAATTTATCTGAATTTTATCTTAAATTGTGCACACTCGTACAGAAAATACAACTATAAATACACCATTTAATTAGTTTAATTTAATTTTCAAATTTGCATTTCAGTTTGAAGTTTTCAAGTCCAGAATATACTGCCGTACACGGATACTGCTATTTAAAATGACTTTCAGAACATATCTTCTTGAAATTCAAAACATCTTTATGGTCAGTGGTCAATGGTCAGTGAAGGATATTGATTCCCCACAGAACCAGCACACAAAAAAGTAGTTTTTCGTATTTTTTTGTGGTTCTCTTTCAGGTCCTCCTGGGCCACTGGGGCTGGATGGATTGGATGGGCTGAAGGGTGTCAAGGGCAATATAGGGTCACTGGGTAAGAGCTGTTCACGTATGTGTATGTTTGTACATTTTTGTATGCCCATCTTAGTTGCGAACCATGACTAGGACTTCAATATGGACCATTTCTGTTAGCATTTCAATGGGATTCTAGTTGTTTGTTATCACTAAGTTAATAGTTTTTCACATTAATATTTTTTGGCAGTTCTAGGTTAAACACAGACTGCTGAAGAATATCTAAAATATATTGCGTGTTTTACCTGAAGCTTGTGACAGACATATTAGCCTATGTTTTGCCTTGTGATTGTTTTACAGAGTCGTTCAGTAGAGAGGCCTGGTATAGAACTGGTAAAGGGGTGGTATGGAGCATTTGTAATTACCAACTGTTTAGCCTTTGCTAGAATTCACAGTCAATGACATATCTAGGACATCCTTTAGGCCTAGAGTGACGTTTTTTACTCATTTAAAAGGTCCGGCCTGGTTGATTACTCTGTCAGTTTGTAATTGTGTTAATTTTACGTGTTAAAATTTTTTATTACTTTTTTGCTTTCTGTGTCGTAAAAAGTGGATGAATGGCATTCAATTTTATTTTCACGCTACGGTGCAGGGAGTAAACAAAGGGTTATACATTATTCCCTTAAGGCGTTGGTATGATGAGGTACTGGGTTTTGAAAGTGGAGACTGCAGAGTCTCAACCCATGTCCTTGTCTGTCCCATGTCCTTTCACTGTTTATCCTTCTCTCTCAACTATCTCTCTCACTCTCTTTTTATCTTCCTTTAGGAATGGGTATACCTGGTAATGTAGGGCCTCTGGGTCTACCAGGCGAAAAGGGATGCTCCGGAGAAACTGGCCCTCCGGGTCAAGTCCAGCAAGGGGTCCCTGGTCCGAGAGGCCAGACTGGGTGCCGAGGTACACACTAACATTATCCACTATCTTTCAGTCATTTCTCTAACCCACAGTTCATAATCCTCCTGAAGACCCACTGCCCTGCACAGTATGAATTATTCTGCCCCTGAAAACAACTGATTCAGCTTGTGAGCTGAATATTATGGGGCAGGAAATAGTTCAAACTATTCAGGGCATTGAGTCTCCAGGATCAGCGAAACCCTAATCTGACATGGCTTGCTCTACTATTGTTATGCTTCCCTTTTCTTTCTACTTATCTCTCTTTCCCTCTTTCTTCCTTTCCCTCCCTAGGGGAGCCTGGTGATTGTGGTCCTTCTGGATGCCCTGGTGAAGACTGTAAGGACCCTAATCCAGGACAGTGTGGTGAAGCTGGCTATCCTGGTCAGGATGGCCCACCAGGTGTGTGACTGTAGAAGCTCAGATATGTCCAGTTAGTGGATTCAGGATAAATGGATATATCCACCTATTCAGCATACAGCAGATTAGCCTACATGTTCAGGTTGCATTTATCGGGAGTGTTTTAGCCTGGACTGCTTTAACAGGCTGTTTAATTCTAGGAGATCAGTGGAGTTTGGAAAGTAGTCAGATAAAAGAATTTTGACTCTTTTTCAGACATAAAACCACACAAATGTCATAAGTGGACCTCAGGAGATGGCCACTTTGAAGAGCAACCACTGTTAACACAGATGTTAAAATGTATACACATAGACATGCAGTCTCCAAAGTGAACATCTTATTTTCTCAGAAGGGAAGCAACAATATTGTTGGCACTCAAAAATAATGTGAACAATAATATTAACAAAACACAGGAGTCTCTTTATTGTTTATCAGATCAATATTTTTGTTGAACAGCTTCAGTATAAAATCAACTGCCTTGTTTTTGACAATACTATATTTGAGCAAGTCCTGTAATTCTGAAAAAGACAAAAAATGGCCATTCAACATTTTATTTTGCATCTTCAGGAATTTGTTGCTTGATTTTGGATGAAATGTAGAATAAGCAGATGTTAACACATTTTTGACATAAGGTTTTATTGTCTTGAAAATGATGTTTAGAGACTTGGTAACTCCAAAAAGAAGTCAATGTCTACATTCACTGCATTCTTTGCCTTTTAAAACTGGAGGTGCACTGATCATAAATGTTTATCATCTATTCCTGTTATGAATATTTTAAAGACAAAAATGATTTTTTTGCTGTTTTTTAAATAAAATGCTTCAGCTTCAGTGGTACTTTATATCAGCCAAAGATGCAAAATAACATTACCTGCTCTTTATCAGGCCAAACTGTTTGGAAAAGTCATGTCCCTGTTTAAATAACATGAAATCAATTGATGTGCTACATCAAATGCAGCTGGCAGCTGCCTATTTAGCAGAATGAGTCATGCATAATTGTACTACAGCATTTTGGTATGAGTGTAGTAGTAGCATTCAAATGCAGCACAAACACATTTTCTTGGCTCACATTGTTCAAGGTGCAAAATTGCAACAGAAATCGGTCAAAGTTAAAATAATAAATTGGCTGATCGCCTAATTGGAGCAAAAAGCATGCTGTTCCAGTACTGGATTTTTTACACTGAAAGTTTTATTCAGTGTATATTGAGTTTTTTTTTACAATGGCTACATTACAACAATGTATATTGAGTATTTTCAATCAGATTTTAGACCAGAAATCTTTTAATAATTTTCTACATATGTAAAATCAAAGCTTATTGGAATGCTAAGTAACACTTACCATGATCAAGTATCTTAACAGCGTCTGAGTGTTGTTCTCTGTGTGTATGTTTGGTTGAAAATTGTAGGACCTATGGGGGCTAGGGGACCTCCAGGCCAGCCCATTCCTGTATGTGGGGATGTCGGTGAGCCTGGAGCACAAGGTATTCCTGGATGTAAAGGTGAAAGTGGGCTTTGTGGCGCCCAGGGACTCCCAGGGATTGAAGGCTTGAAAGGACTGAAAGGTAATACACAAATTGTTGGCTTAGAATACTAGGTTCTATCTGTGTTCAGTGCAGTTTTGATATATTGAGGATCAAAGATTTCATGTTCAAAACTCAATTGACAATTAACTTTTAAATCTTAACCAAGTCATTGTCCTGAGATGTTTTAACAATATTGCGAGATTGAGATAATATGGTGTGGTATCACCATGGTGAAATCCATAGAGCTCTCTGAGGCCTTCAGAAAGATGGGTGTAGATGCCTATTAGTCTGGGAAGAGATTTGAAAAGATCTCCAGAACAATTAGAAATCAGCCAGTTTAATTTACTTGGAAAAAACATTTAAAACAACTGCCATTGACAGGTCACATTGTCCTTGCTAGTTCAGCCCAAGAGCAGACCGCAGATGCATAAAGAAGTCTCCAACAATCCTAAAATATCATCACGGGACCTACAGGTAGCCCTTGCTACAGTTGATGTGAAAGTACATGCATCCACCACCAGAAAGAGATTTTCAGGGGGGGGGAGGTGCAAGGAGGAAACTCTTGCTATCAAAGCAAAGTTTTCTGGGGAACACCAAATACAAAAAAAAGTGCAAACCAAATACACCAAGCATGGAGGATGAAATGTCATGGTTTGGGGCTGCTTTGCTGCAGCAGGGCCAGGTTAGTTCTCCATCATAGAATTTACTGTGAATTCTTTATTCTATCGGAGAGTGTTTGAGGAAAATGTGAGACCCTCTGTCCAAAAACTGAAGCTGAAGCAGGGCTGGGCGATGCAACATGGCAATGGCCCAAACCAAAGAAAGAAATGGAGAGTTCTTGAATGGCCAAGTCAAAGCCTAGAGCTTAATCCTATTGAGATGCTGTGGGGTGATTTTAAATGGGCTTTGCATGCAAGAAACCCCTAAAACATCACACAGCTGAAAGATTTCTGCATGGAGGAGTGGGAAAAACATTCTCCCAGTCAATGTCAGAAACTGGTAGACATTTTAGAAAATGTCTAATTGAGGTTAATTCAGCAAAAGGGGGAAATTCCAGCTATTAGACATAGGGTGTCCCAACTTGGGACCGTTTTTCTTTTTTTTTGTTGTATGATAATGTATGATAATCAATGTGTATTATCTATAGATATTGTTAGAAAGAAGATCAAATATCGTTTCGTTCATAATTCTTAATAAAGTCCTAAATATGGGGTGTCCTAACATTTTCACATGAATGTATAAGGTTCTTTCTGCGTATAAACCCCTAGTTAAATAGAAACTTCACTGTATTTATAATACATGAAACGTAAGTATATATAAAGGCAGCTGTTTCAGTGTAATACAATGTAGTACACTTAACAGTGTAGTTTAACATTATTTTTGTGAGCCACATTAGCATCATGTACATATCCTCCTCAGTCCCTAGACTGGATATTTAAAAAACAAAAGTGTTTTGTTATGAAACATATTCTTTGCTGATGTTATTTATCTGATTCCATGAGATGATGTTGAAAGTTGTATTTCATTAAAGTTATATGATTAGAGTACAAAGCAAACTGATGTTTATGGTTTATTCACACAAAAACCATATCAAGTTTTGAAAACAAGCACAACATATGCAGCGCTGTGTAAAATTGTAGCTAGCTGTCATGGTTACTGTCCAAACAAATGTGCATCATGATGGCAGCAGAACAGCTTATCTTGCTTGTTGCAACTTTTGTAGTACCAGTGCTACATATAAAAAAAATTACATACAGCCCTGATACATCTGGGCCAGTGAGAAACATGCAGCTGCTCCCACGCACACTCTAACATTCAATACAAATAATTGGATGGAACAGTTCAAAGTGTTTGTGAAAGCACAATCAATTGCAGAGGACCACATTGATGCAGTTGCTGGCAGATTGACAGTCACTAGATGGCTCTAATGATACCATGCTCAAATTATCGACATAAATGATCACACTCTTCTTTAGAAAAGAGAAAAACCTGTGAAGAGAGTGATTTTGCGCTACATGTGTAATTATGTTTATCTGCATTTCATCAGGTGAGAAAGGAGACATGGGGTTTTTGGGGGACCCTGGACCCTGTGGTCCCCCGGGAACATGTGGTTTTCCTGGGCCCAAGGGACCCAAGGGACTGCCAGGAGATCAAGGTTAGTGCTCACCCTTTTGCATCTTATTTCACAACAATATCTTACATGAACATGCATACATGCCCTACATGACACAGAACAAAAAGCCAAATTGATCTAAGGATCTTTAGCAATGGTTTGAACACTACTGTATAACAGGACCTTTCTGTAAAAGAGATTTTAATCCTTTTTTTTCCCGTTTAAATAAAGGAAAATTAGTGTACACAGCTGTCTTGTGAAGATCGACTATGGCACCTTTCTCAAAGTTTAATGAAAAAAAACAATGGCATACAGAGTTCTTAAATATAGAAGAAACATCTCTTGCACAAAATGTAAAAAGTGGAAACAAGAAACAACTCACAGAATTGGTTTTCTTTTTATGTGCTGATTTGTATACTACACGCCATACAGAAATTGGATTTCAGTCCGACTAGCCAGAGACATTTGACTACTGAGTGTAAATGCATGTGATTGAAATCCTTTTCAGAACACAAGATTTATTAGACTAGATACAAGTCAAATAAAAGGACTAGGTATAAACGCTGTCTTAGATGACATGATGTGGATAAAACCAGAATTCAAACCAGAAAACGATGCATTCATAGACCAGAAATTAACACCAGCATTAAAAATGTACCAGCTTTACTCTTCTCATGCACTCTTACTCTTTTCATCTAGGTCCTTGCGGAGAACCTGGGAATGTAATTCATAAAAAAGCATGCCCTCTCCCAGGTCCGTGTGGACCTCCTGGTCCATGTGGTCCACCTGGCTGCCCAGGCCCTGCAGGACCACAGGGTGGAGAAGGCCGAAAAGGTGCAGCCACAAATCAGATACATCATCAACCTTTTGCTTATCAAAAAACATAAAGGCTTAAAATCTTAAAGGCTTTCCCACACTGAATTTTAGGAGGTCTGTCTTGTGCTGTATTATTTTGAAGGTGTTTTCTTAGTTTTTGGTTTTAATCTCAGGGCAAAAAGGTGAAGATGGAGATTATGGATTGCATGGCCTGGCTGGAGCACCAGGATCAGATGGTGCTCAAGGAAAGTCAGGCGAAAAGGGCGAGAGAGGACAGCCAGGCAATGACGGTGTGTGTTGCATTAGTCTTAAAAACATCATTGTCAGTGTTTGCTTTGTTGAATAGTGCTCATGTTGACATGCATACAAGTTAGCAAAGTTAACTGGTGGCAGTGTTGCTACAGCTGTTTTTGGTGCAAAAAAAGGAGCCCAGGATCAGATTTCAGTGGCTGTTAACTGATTTGCACATCTCCAGTGCTAAATTTACCCTTATGGTCAGCACCCACCTATTTACACTGGGGGTGGATGTTGTTTAGCTGTGGCTCTGCTGTCTTTAGACTATGCGTTGTGTTGTGCACACTCAAGTTCAGTAGCCACACACATCTTTTCCTAAATATTGGTTGGGATTTGACTTTGCCTCCCTCACTGTTCATCGTAATGGCTACAGTATTATGTTGCAATTTCAAACTAAAACAGACTTTCACTTTACAAGTTGTAGCAAAAGGTTTGCACACTGCCACTAATTAACTTACCAATAAGCTAAGTACTAAGTTGGGACGGGGCAAAATAAGAGTGTTTTTTAAGTTTATAGAATATTTAGGTGACTGGTAACAGGTGAGGGTATCATGATTGGGTATAAAAGAAACATTCAACAAAGTCTCAGTCTTTGTAAGCAAAAATGGGTCATGGTCCACCACTTTGTGTCAAATTTGTGAGAAAAACAGTTCAGAAAGAGCATTTCTTGGCGCAAGAAACAACTTAGGTCTTTCACCATCTACTGTGCATAATATTGTAAAAAGATTCAGGGAATATAGAGAAATCCCAGTCTGTATAGGGCAAGGCCAGAAACCACTGCTGAATGTGCGTCACCTTCAAGCCCTCAGACGGTGTTGCATGAGAAACCGTCATGCTTCTGTGTTAAATATAACCACATGGGCTCCGCAGTACTTTAGAAAACTGTTGAAACGTAAATGAGTCCACTGCTGCGTCAAAAATGCAGCTTGCAACTCTGTTATACTAGGAGAAAGCCATACATCTGGGCCCAAGCTCATCTCAGATGGTCTGAAAAACATTGGAAATGTGTGCTTTAGTCAGATGAGTCCATGTTTTAGCTTGTTTTTTTGGAAGAACATAGTCCTCCTTGCCAAAAACTAAAGGGACCATCCAGACTTTTGTCAGTGAAAGGTGCAAATGCCAACATCTGTTGTGGTAAGGGGATTCATCCTGATATGGAAGGCTTGCATATGTGTGAAGGTACAATTGATGCAGAGGCATAAATTGGGATTTTAGAGAGACAAATGCTGCTTTCAAGATGATGTCTTTTCCCAGGAAGTCCATATTTCATCAGGACAATACCAGGCCTCATTCTGCACATGCTACAACAGCATGTCTTTGCAGGCATAGAGTGCATGTGCTTGACTGGTCTGCCTGCAGTCCAGATCTGTCTCCTATTAAAAATGTATGGTATGATGCATAATGAAGAGAAGAATCAAGACAACAATGACCACAGACTGTTGAGCAGCTGAAGTAAGCTATCAGGCAAGAATGGGCAGAAATTGTACATATAAAACTGCAAAAATTAGTGTCCTCAGTTCCCAAATGATTAAAAAGTGTAAAAGGAAGGGTGATATAACACTCTTGAGGCAGTCAAATAAAAGTTAGAGAATTAACGAATCACAGATTCTTGTTTTTATTGCATTTTGCAAAATGTCCCAACTTTTCCAGAAATGGGGCTTGTCTATCAACGTTATAACTGTGTTACAAATGGAGCATCAACACTGGATTGTCAGACAGTCCTACAAAATTAAAGACAAATTCAGTACACAGTTTATTCTGTCTTTCTTTTTGTCACTTTCTCTCTCTCTCTTTTTTTTTTTCTATTTCTCTTTCCCTATTTAAAACTAGGTGAGCCGGGCCCTGTTGGAGACCGTGGTCTTGATGGCATCACTGACATGTGCAAATCTGGCTTCCTGATAGTCGTTCACAGCCAGTCACCATATGTGCCTCAGTGCCCTTTAAACTTGCCCATGCTCTGGGAGGGATACAGCTTACTGTACCTAGAGGGACAGGAGAAAGCACACACACAGGACCTGGGTATCTATCTGCCATACACTACATGCGCTCATGCGCGCACACACACACACACAAATAAACTGAATGCAACATTTAAGAGAGGAGCTGTGAACATGTGGAGAGAAGCTTGCGATGTTTTCCATGTAGTGCCATTTACTTTTGTAACGTGACAGAACCACTCAGAGGCTCGCGGATAAAAAGACCAAAAAAGGCTTTACTATTTGAATCATCAGTCAAAATCGTTGTCAGGAAACAGGTACAGGTCAAATCCAGAAAGGGCAGCAAGTAAAGAAACACACACATAACAACAGGCAAAAACAATCCAATAGGGGTCAGGCAAAACGGGTGAGTCAACGGGCTTTATACTAAAGCTAATGAGAGGTCACAGGTGTAACAGATCAGTACTCAGGAGAGAGATCTGTGACAGGAGCATGGTGGAGGGTCAGGAGTCATGTGTAGTCCAGGGAAACCTCTGAGCCTTAGGGATGCGTGACAACTTTCTTGCAGCATAAGTCAGAAATAGAGGTGGAATCTGTGCCATCTTTGACTCGACACTACGTGTAGAGACATTGCAACTGGCCTTCAATAATGCAGTCTAGTTTAGCAGGCTCTAGGGTTGATTAGTGATTCTTACAGACATTTTTATGATACACAATACAGACACAGGGCTGTGGGTATAGTATTTTTTATTTAACATTTTAAACACTGTACTGGATAGGGGTGGGAATCTCTAGGCACCTCACGATTTGATTACGATTCAGGGGGCTGCGATGCGATTATGAAACAATTATCGATGCGTCTTGATGCATCTTTTTTTGCTATACAGGATTTCTATTTTCCTACTGTATTTTCCTAGGACTTGGTAGTTTTAAAGCAAAGTATTTGTAATGATCCATAATGCATTTACTTCCAATATCTTTTATTAATAAATCAAATGGAAGTGATGTGGCAAGTGAACTTGAAGGCTCTCATTCACTGCTGTTTGGAGCACAAGAGACGCTGCTGCCACTCATCTGCGATAAAATGCGCTGTTAGGGTGACATAAGATCCAGTGGTAATAGATGTCCTTGCAGCACATTACAGCTATTCTACTAGTTTTCTTTAGTGATTTTATAACTTCGGTTTTGGTCTCGTTGTAGAGAGTGGTGGGATCTCTGTGTCAGTAAAATATCTTCGAGACGGGACGTGTGCAACATAGCATGAAAGCCCTGGTTCTCAACGGCTGAGAACTGGCCTGCAGACTGCAGGTAACACAGCAACGAAGTCTCGCCTGGCTAGTAGCGAACGAAAAGGCACAGATTTAAGACAAACATTTGGAGATAAATGGACTTATTCGCATTTATAAGCAGCGCAGTTGGTTTCCTGGTATGTAAAATCTGCAACAAAAGACTGTCAAACACTAAAAGTCGCAAAGATGAAGTCGCTTCTCTTTCAAATTTTCCCAGTCCACCTTAAACGGTGCTGCATTTACATTCAGCGCCTCAGGCAGAACTTAAGGTGGAACAGGAAAATTCAAACAAGAAGCTGGAGAATGAGAAGCGACTTCGGCCTCATAAAACAGTCCAACGATGAGAGACATTTTACAAGAAACTGGTCTACTTTTAAGGAAACATTTTCTGGTGGAAAGGGGAGGAAAGCGGCTATAACTAGTTAAAGCTTAAAGCAGAGCAAAGTAAGTCAGCGTTTTCGTTTATATTGTTTAGCCTATACTAGAACATTATCACATATTGAGACATATTGGACATTAAATGTTGTGGCTCCCAATGTGGTTTGATTTTTGTTGAAAAGACAAAATGGCTCTTCTTATCATTTGGGTTGTGACTCCTGACCTGACCTGGCTTTTAATGCAGAGGGAGCCGGTCGGATTTCTCACTCATCCAGTAGTGTTTTTGTTATGTGCTGTCACAGACCGTCCGGGCGCTGCACTTTCCCACTTCGAAGTTCTGCCTTTTGAGTTCCGTCAACATCACGTTAGAAATTAAATATTTAGAAAATCGATTGTTGACATTTGTGAATCGATTCAGAATCGTTCACGTCCACATCGCGATGCATCTAAGAGTCGGTTTTTCCCGCACCCCTAGTACTGGACTACATCCAATTAAACAGGACTAGTTATGCTCTCTTTTTCATGAAACATGCAGTTGGTCAGTGATCTTTAAGTATATCCTTGAAAATTTTCACAATAGAATTCATCACAGTCATGATAAAATTTTGTCATATTGACTCCCCTTCTTGTGGGTTCTGCAATACATGAAGAGAATTTTTTTCTAATAAAGGTGTTATTAATCATAATATAGTATTGATATTTCTAAGATGTTTAAGGTTCATGGTAATGCTTTTGTAATGAACCCCTTCATATGCACTGGCAGTTTATTACATAATTGTTCTTACACTCACTGGCCATTTTATCAGGAACACCTACCATTTACATGCACTTTGCAGGTTTACGGTTACTGTCTGTATGCCATCTGTTGCACAATTTATCACCCACTTACTACCCTCTTAAACAGTGGAAAGGGACCACCACAGGACCACAGCTGACCATATATTGTTTGGGTGGTGGACCGTTGTCAGCACAGCTGTGATGCTGAGAGTAGTGGCATTTTAGTGTGTGTGGCGCTGGTACAAATGTATCAGGCATTCAGCTGAGATGTTAGAAAATCTTAATGTCACTGCTCAGTTGAGAGTTGTCCAGTGACCAAAACTATCTAGCCAACAGCGGTCCTTTGATCAGGAAATGCTAGAGGACGATTAGGACAAGAGGAATGCAGTATTCGGTGGTATTTTTCCTGCTTTAAGACATCTGAATCAGCTCAATAGCTAATTATCAAGACTTGAATGAGTTAAATTAGGTGTGTTGGAGTAAGTGTGGGGTTAAACACATCTATAACATTATCTGTGTTTATCTGTGTGTGTGTGTGTGTATGTAACAGGTCAGGCGGGCTCATGTGTGCGTGTCTTTAGCACTATGCCTTTCTTCTACTCAAACCGGGGAAGCTGCAACTACGCCAGTCGCAACGACAAATCCTATTGGCTCTCCACCACTGAGGCATTACCCTCAATGTCTGTGAAAGGGCCGCAGATCCAGCGGCACATCAGCAGGTGCGTGGTGTGTGAGGCTCCTTCACCAGCCATCGCCATTCACAGTCAGAGAAGCGACGCACCTCAGTGCCCTCCGAACTGGACTACTCTGTGGATGGGATATTCATTCCTTATGGTACGTTCAGTAAAAGTCATTAAAGCAAAGACACTAACTAGTTAGCATTAACAGCATTTATAAAGTTAAAACAGTACGCGTTCGAACAAGCTGTGTGGTTTGATGGTTACTTTTGCAGCTAACGTAGCTTACTTCTCAGCTAAATTAGGTCACACAAGTAGTGCAAAACATGTTCTATGTCGTAGTTTACCCAGCCAAACTCATTCCTCCAAGTGGGAATATATTTTACAGACATTATAAATAATGTTGCCATGTATGAGTCTGAGAGGAAACGAAAACGGATTCCCATTTGGTGGATTGAGCTTGGTTGGCTGCCTTCTTAGACCCATACATGGCAACTTTAACTATAACATCTGAACTGACAAGTAAATTCATCCTCCACTTGTTCATTCATTTGTTCCTGACAAGCAGATGAGTATAAATGTCACTGTCCTGTGTCACTGTTGGTGCAATTTGATCTGACATGTTTACAGTGTTGGTCTCAAATAGTGTAAGTGTGTGTAAATTCTAGACCACTTATCAGTTGAAGTCACGACATGATGGTGTTGTCTGTGTCCTCCAGCATACAGGGTCTGGAGATGAGGGTGGCGGCCAATCTCTGACATCAGCAGGAAGCTGTCTGGAAAGTTTCCTCACGCATCCATTCGTGGAGTGCCAGGGCCTGCATGGCACTTGCCAGTTTTTCAGCAACATTTATAGCTTTTGGCTTACTCAAGTGGGCGATCAGGGCTTTAGCCCCATTCCCAAGAAGATTGCCCTTAAAGATGCATCTGATCAACGCAACAGTGCTAGCCGATGCAGCGTCTGCATGAGGTTTCCCCGTGGCAATTACTAAGCACAGACTGCTTCCAAGTTCCCTTTGTAACTATGCAGAGGATGTGCTTTTGGTTGGTCACCTGAGTGGGAGTCATGCTAACTATGCAGGTCACTTTCTCTCAGTCAAAAAGTAAAAACAATAAAAGGAAAAAAAGGAATGAACTGCTTGCATGGGACCGCTAGCATTGAAAGAACAACTGTGAACTCATTCTTTTTCTCTACGATCTCCCACACACTATTCCATTTACTTGAGCTAGTATGTCTGGGCATCTTCAAGCTGCTTGCCTCATTTCTCAGTCGTAAGCTAAGCTCACACTGCAGGTGGCTCAAATTTTTTGTCTTCATATGTGACAAAGACCTGTTTTTTTTTAAAGTGTAAAAAAGAAAATACACACTAAATTTGTCTCTTTTCGTTCTGATGTGGGACACTTTCATACACCATGTGTTTAAAAGTTTGTGGACACCTATTCATCCAGTATTAACAGAGAGTTTGTCCCTGCTTTGCTTAGCTGCCTCTACTCTTCTGGGAAGGCTTTACACTGGATATTGGAACATTGATGTGAGAATTTGATTGCATTCAGCTGCAAAAGCATTAGTAAGTTCAGGTACTGATGTTAGATGATTGGTTCCGGATCACAAACACCACCCTAAATCATCATAAATGTATTTGATGGTGCCTTATCACTCCAGGGCACTTTACATTGTTGTTGTGTGCACAGTTGAATGCTTATGGCAGCAGTGGGTGCTCCTGAAAGTAACTAAATGTATTAATTAGAAAGGGTGTCTGAATACTTTTGGACATATTGTGTATGTGATACTAAAATCCTTTACCTGAGATGTGACATGACCATTGAACATCCAGGAATTCATGCAACTTTTATGTCTGTCCAGCTCAACATTTTTCATAATGCTGCACTGGCAGAAATGGATTTTAAGAAACTGTAGGACAACTGGCGATTGAGTGTGTTCGCTTACTTTTGAATAAGCTTACAGGGTGGAGAGTTTTACGAATGTTGGTCAGTTCAGGAGCATGACCCTTATCAGACAAATGTCAGATATAAACTAAAAAAAAAAAATTGCAAACAACCAAACCAACACATCGGAATTGAGCACTTGCAGTGTGAACATAGCCTTAGTTACAGGAAATGAAAGGTGTTTGTCTGTTTCTTTACCTTTTGATTCTAATTCCATGCTGGTGCCCGCCACTGGCCAGTTGCACAGACTCCTGATGAGTCAACTTTATTAATTACTTGTTTAGCACAATTTAGATTTGTATAGCGCTTTTTTACTACAGATGAGTCATCTAGAACTCCACAGAGATTTGACACCAAGCCACAGTTGACACATTCCTTTCTTATTACTATTGCACCGTCTATCCGATGAGATACCGTAACACTTACTGAGCAATTGGTACAAAAATAAGAACATGGTTCTTTACTGACTAGAGTCATTTTTTTCAACATCACTTGGCCTCGCCTTGAAATATGGTGCTAAATATCATAAAGTAGCTTTTTTTCCAGGTACAGAGCATTTTAACTTTTCTGAGAATGTTATGCTTTGTCTCTTTGTTATTGTTTCAATTTCTTCTACAGTTATTCTTTGATTTTGTAACCACCTGTTATATTATCAGTGTGCATCACTATTGCTTATTCTTCTTTTGACCAGTATTCTCCATTACTATATTCTCTAAATGAAGATTACAAGTATTTGCATACATTCATGTCACTGTAGCATGCAGCATCACTTTCTCAACATTTTGCAGTTTATTGTCAACTGTTACTGCTAATATACTGATTTAAGTCATCAGCTCCTCTATCTCAGAATAGGTAAAGGCTTAAAATTAGTCGGATTAATTTCTTTCTCTCATCATCTTTTTCTGCTGTCAAAGTAATCTAAGTCTTGTATCACAAAGGCACCAGTTATGAGTAGTTTAAAATGCTTGAGAAGCCTCCCTAAAGCAGATACATTTTGTTTTATTTGGGGTTGTTGTTTTCCTGGTGGTATAATAAGACAGTGCTATCTTTTTAGAGGCCTGAAGACTCAAACAGAAAACAGAATATTCTGGAGAAACACTATCCAATCCATATGGTCGCCAGGAGTCGGAACACCTTGGTGGCACTTAATAATAATAATAATAATAATAATAATCTTTTCTCATGCTGTCTGTTTTAACTCGCACTATTAAAACAAACTAACTCCAGTGTTCTTCGCTCCATATCACATATTACAGGAACTTTGGATACAGGAACTTTTTTCTTTACTTCTTCCTAAAGCTTCTTGTGTTTTTTGGCATTATATATTCCACTTGTATGTACATATGTTTGCACTGTTAAAAGTACAGCATTGCTTTATATTTTTACTGTAAATTTAAAGAGTATTTATTTAGATAGAAATTATTTTGGTGCTATTTTGGAGAAAAAAATAATGGCAAATGGCAAAACCCTTTTTTTTTCTTGCTACTGCAAAGAGGAGATACTTTTCCTTGTCTGTTTTGGAGCTTGTCCTCCGACCATTAAACCACCGTGAGTGGTGACATTCATAGACTGAATATGTCTTGAGTACTGTAACGTCTTATGTACCTGAGATCACAGGTCCAACAGACACATATGCATGAGAAATTAATACACATGCACACATTATGACCTTCATTTAAGGCTTTTCTCCTTTCTTTATTCAAGTCAGTCAGTGAAACTTGATGAGGGATACAATTTTACCTGTAGTGTGGGGCTGTGCATTTTCACATGCGCTACTTTACTGTTTATTATTCTGTATTTAATTGTTTAATTTACTACAATTGAGTTTTTTTTTGTTTTGTTTTTTCACCAGATGACCCTAAACGCAAAGTTCAGTTTATATGTGGTCTAATGTCAACTGCAGTAGCAGCTGCACTGAGTTTAAATTGTTTTTGTGGCCACTGTAGTTTTGCTGCACTAGAAAGATCCAGAGACCAGCATAATAGATACTGTCACTGGGCATATGCGAATGCCCACCCATTAATTGCTGAAACAGTGGTAAAACTAGCATAGGTAAATAATCCTATTGTACTTTCATAAGTGTTACTAGAAAAGGAGATTTTTTTTTCCTTTTGATATTAAATACACCTATTGCAGTTACTACTGAAGTATCAACAGCAAGCTTCTGAGTGTAGGTGCTGATGTTGGATATAGTTTTTGAAAACATGTATATTAATTATCTACCTGGACTCCCAAACACACACACACATACACTGACACAAGGCATGTCATTCAAGTGACTTCCCTTGAACCGATCAGGAAAAATCTTCTTTGAATATTCTTCATCCTCATTGGATAACACGCTCACTAACACTCATATTTGTCTAGGCAATTACCAGTATTCTTAATGAAATAAATAATCATCATATGTGGACTGTTTGTAAGGTTAAAATAAATGCATTTTATTTCAAAAATGTATGAAGTTTTTTGTGTAGTTATTAAAACACAGTACTACACCCTTTCTGTCTGTCAATCTGCCTATTTTCTGTCAGAGACCACCCTTCATTTATTTCATTTCCAGTCAAAATGACCATTAAGGACAAGCTAGTCATTTGTAGATGTGATTCTAAGGAGATCAGCTACAAGAAAGTCTACTTGTATCAGGACAGGGAAAGTCAAAGGAAAATAAATTATAAACCGCATGCTTCCAAAACCTAAAGTTAATGATATAAAAATTATTAAAAGATATAGAGGAAAAGGGATTCAGCTGTACAAGCAAGACCAGTGTGACCACTGTGATAAGACAACGCAGCACTATGGGTCTATGGGAAAGGATGTGTAGCTGTCAAGAAGCCCCCACTGAGAAAAGGAAATGAGCAAAATATGCAGATCAAACAAAGAAGCTTCTGGTGTTGGAAGACTCAACATATTCAGCCAGTAGTGCTGGTGTATCAACACATTCAGTGATGATGATGGACTCTGGGGTGGTGTTGAATGTGAGACCTCAACATGAAATGAAATAACATTTATTGTCACATCACATTTACACAGGTGCAAGGTGAGTGAAAATCTTAGGTGCGTAGCTCCTTGTAGAATTCAAATCCAAAATATATATATATATATATATATATGAAGAAAAAAGAAATATATAAACAGACTCTAAATATATACAGAATACACACTACTATTGCACTATTTCCAATGTTCAGTTGTACACAGTAAAAAGTTATGAAATAAAACTTATTGAATAAAACTGATATGTACTGTTGTACACATCTCTATGTGCAGTTAGTGAGTCTGAGGCAGATAATAAACGAGATGCACGGTACACAGGGGATAGGATATAGATGTAGACATCTTCACCACCCGTGTGGTGTGTTCTATCCATGTCAGATCCTCTGTGATGTGAACACCGAGGAACTTGAAGCTGCTGACCCTCTCTGCCGTGGCTCCATTGATGGTGAAGGGGGTGTGCACTTTCTTTTGCTTCCTGAAGTCCACTATGAGCTCCTTGGTCTTGTCAACATTGAGAGAGAGGTTGTTCTGGAACTAGTGCGTCAGGAAGCTGACCTCCTCTCTGTAGGCCTCCTTCGTCATTAAATGTGTTTGGGATTACTTCGATCATGAGAAGCAGAAAATGCAACCAACTTTTAAGACTAAACATATGGTATGTAAAATATCCTTGCAGATTCAGAAAAAACTAAAAGCAAGTCTCCTGAAAAGAACTGAAGCTGCAATGAAGGTAAAAGGTGGACACATTTAATACTGAAAAAATTACATTTAGTTGTTGAGGCTTTTGTGTAATTTTCTGTTAAATACAAACATTCTCCTTTTTTATCTTGTTGAAAAATGAACTTGTACTCACACAAATGTTAAACTGTAGAGCTTAATTTAGGCTTTCTGTAGCGTAAATTACCACAGATAATTTGGACATTTTTCCCTGTACTAAGAAAATGGAAGCCTGTTAAAACACAATTTTAATAGAAGGCATTTTTGTCCATGACAATGTAACACATGATATAGAGATCAGGTTGTTAAATGTTCAAGTTTTCCATTACAAAGAGTTCTTGCAGTTATGTGAGGACTAATCCTGGAAATTAAGCATGCAAAAAAACAACACTCACTCTCAACACTACAGAATGTATGATTTATTTTCTGTTTACAAAAATAAACTTTCATAATACCAAAAATAACTTAAGAGCGATGCTGTTTGTGAAATGCTAAGCAAAGTCACATTGACCCCTGCATCTCTCAGTGCAAACTGTTTAAGACCCCAAAAACTGCATAGTAAAAGTATTAAGTTTAAAAATATGCACATCATGGCATTACCAGAATAGCTTCACTTAAAATGGTTAAGTAAGCATAAGTTCATTACATTCGTTTACATTCATTTGACACCCCAATATACAAAAACTTAAATCTTAAATCCACAAATCAGCGAAGTGCACAGCATTAGAGACACTGAATACGTTTCCTGCATACAAAAGATCTTAAAAGTAGAATTCCCAGTGACAGGACAAGTTAGCCTAAGGCATTTTAAATAGTATTCCAGGAAAGGAAGTCTACATTCCAGGAAAGCTTGTTCAGAGTAATTTAACCTGCCATAATGATGTTACTTATGACTATATGACTAGTTAGCTGTAAATACCACTACATACATACATACAAATGCAATGTTGTTGATAAGTGGTCTAGCAAATGGTAGATGGATACTGTGAAGAGTTTTTCGTGAAGAGCGGCCAGTGATGACATCACAGTGTTGATGAATTCTTCTGCCACCTTGAGCCACAGAATCATCCTTTTATCCTTTGGATTGGTTGTTTCAAGCGCTCCTTTGTAACTTGTAAACATTTCAATATCATTCTCTTCATATTTTAAGACTTCAACTGTCAAACCTCTGAAGTCGGCGTCGGCGCATTTCTTCAATGGGTGGGTCAGAGTTGACATTAAATCCATATGATGGTCTGGTTTGAGTGGAGCCCCCTACAAAACACACATAAAACCTAGTCAGAAAAAACAGTGGTTTGACCAGAGCTCTGTAAGTGTCTGTAAGAAATTCTGCTGCTGGGCCTGTAGGTGACAGCAGAAACAAACTTCTAGCAATGTTCAAACACATAAATGGTGCTTAAAGAAAGAAATTATACATGAAACAGAGTTTTTATCCTAAACATGAATGAATGCATTATCTTTCCATTGAACCTTTTATTTTATTTTTATGGCCATTATTTACCTTTTTTCTATTTCCTTCTATTTTTTAAACTTACTGTTTAGTTGAAATGTACATTGAAGTACAGTACTGCTACAGAATTAAAAGTTATCTACAAATAAAGGTCTTCTTTTTTTTCCTCTTCTTCTTCTTCTTCTTCTTCTTCTTATTATTATTATTATTATTATTATTATCATACAAAATTAAGGTTATAGGACAGCTACCCATTGTTAACGTCTTTTGTGTTAAAAAACTTAGAATTGATGTTGAAAGTGCAAAACATTTTCAAAATAACAAATTCAGAATTTATACACTGTTCAGGTAGAATTAGCAAGTTATTAAAAATAGCAAATAATTTGGGTTTCCTGGCCGTTTCTGCTGCCTTTTACCCATAATCATCATTCCCACCTTGGTCACGAAGGCTGGCCCTAATGGCTGCCTCATACTGCTCTTCTTCTGATAGCCCAGCTGAGTATGGATGCTGAGGTGGTGCAGACGGCCCATTTGTGTTATACTGCTCGCTGTAGGAGGTGTTAGAGTTGTAGGAGCCATATGGGCCCTGTCCATAATATGACGAACTGTGTGGAGGGTCTGGCATTCCATATCCACTGTAACCTGTAGGAAATAAATAAATAAAACATTTCAAAGAGGACATGACGACAAAAGTCATACTGCAATATGCTACTAGAAATTATATGATCTCAACAGCTTTCTGTTATGCTGAGTATTTCTGGAGACTACTTACCTGAAGAATTATAGTATGTGTAAGGCCCGCCATAGTTTCCATTAGAGCTTACAAAACCTGAGGGACAAAAGAAGTGTTTGTTAATCGTTTACTGTTAATCCTTTAACTGTTTATTCTGGTGACAGTGATGTATAAATAATTCTGATATGTAAATATGCATGGAGGAACAAAAAAGAAAAACAGAAACAAACAGTATTTTGCCAGCAACTAAACAGCTTAAAACATAATCATCCTTAACTGTTCTGGAACAGAAGTGCTTATTTATCACAAACTCTCAAAATCACATCGTTTTACTCAAAGTATCATTTTACAAGATTTATGGGGCAGGTACATTTTGTGCTATGACTATATATTATATATTCGTAATCACTACCTATAAGTAGACTCTGAATGTCCCTTGTGCTTTTCCGAATACTCTCACACGACCTGTTGGTATTACATGTCATGATGTAAGAAATTAATGAGCCAGCTAGCATGTCTATGCATTGTAAGCATCTTAAGAACAGCAACACTACTGACAACGTACCACTGAACTTGAACTTCTGATCATAGCAAGCTACAGTAAATTTTTATGGCTATTTCATAGCTATATGTTGCTTACTGATTCCCATGTTAAATCTTTTTTTTTTAATCCATATCACAATATTCAAGTCACTTAATTTGGCTATATGGCCAATTATAAAACACCCACAGCTCAAAAACTCATCCATTCTGAACTTATATACTGTAGAAAAATGTTTAAACCATGATGACTATTCTGTATAGACTATATGGCAAAATGTATGTCAGTGATGTCGACTGTCACAACAAATCTGTATCATCATAAGGACAATAGTCATAATTAATGACACTATTATACATCGCAAAGTAAGAAGTATGAAGCTACACCAACATTGTAAATAGCGGTGTTATTTTTAAATTGTGTTACACTTTTACAATTTAATGCTCAATATTTTATCTGTCGTGGGGCCGGGTCTCTTTGCGGTAGGATTTTTTTGTAAATGGATCACGGCATCCATAATATGGACGAATTCATATCATGAGGCAATGTATTAATTTTTATACCGATAAGACCTTTTATGTCTAAAACTTACATGTTTACACCTGAACATCTACTCACCTGCAAACGTCTTCATGAGTGTCTTGAGTGGCCCAGTAGTGTAGAGAAGCCCAACCAGGATACCAGCCAGGTGGCCCACAAATGAGGTCCTGCAGAGAGAGAGAGAGAGAGAGAGATTAAGCATTGTACAGCAGGCCTACACACTCACCAGCCAATTAGTTAAGTATACCAGCCTTGTATCTATTTTTTATTCTATTTTTCATTTATTTTTATCTGGTGTATATATATACTAAACTACATAAAACTCCAGTAACACCCTGCTGTTTCTGATCAACTTGTATAAGTGCAGCACACACTAACTTGCTACTGCCATGTCAGTGTCACTGCAGTGAGAATGAACAACCATTGATAAACAGGGTAGATAAAGGCTAATAAATGTGTGTGTGTGTGTGTGTGTGTGTGTGTGTGTGTGTGTGTGTGTATATATATATATATATATATATATATATATATATAGATATAGATATATATATATATATATATATATATATATATCACCCTCAGTCTTACCCTGGGTTCATAATGTGAATGAGGATAAGCTCCACCCAGCAGGTATAGCGATTGGCCACAGGCACTCCCATGATGTATTTCATTCCACCCGGATTATAATGATTATTCACCACTTTTAACCCAAACAGTACACCTGCAATGGACAGTAATAAACAGTTTTCTCACAGAAACATTAAGTCTAACAGCTGGACTTGGACTAAAGCACAGTGTCACTGGAGGTGGCCCCTGAAATATGGACGAATATTCATATTAAAAGAACATCCATGTTAAAAAGAACAGTTTGGCCAAAAAACCAATTTACTGTTGGTTATCAGACACATTTCAGAGAAAAAAAAATTAATTAAGATATTATCCATACAATTAGCACTGTGCAAACTGCAGGCCTAAGTCATCATTCACTGGTCTCAAACCATTTCGAGTTGTTAAGTAATCTCAAATAAACTTGCTTATCGTTTCTGTCAGAACAAAACTTTTTTTTGTTTTCTATATGGAATGATTTTAACATGCCAGGACATGGACATGAGGACATGAGAAAACAACCAACAGAAATGGCTTTTCCTGTTACATTAATCTACCGTAAAATTTAAGAATGTTTTCTTCTTCTCCTGAAAGGTTACCATTTCAGACATACAAAGTTTTATTCCAACAGTGACGTTATGCAGTTTCTCACCCTGTACAACACGCTGTATTGCTAAAACAGTAGTAGCAGCAATCTTGAACCCAGAACTTCCTTTCTCAGCAAACAGTTTTGTTTTGATTTGATCTGCATATTTAATTTTACCACAATCTATTTGCTATGTGATGAAACTGAAGAAGTACAAATGGTATTACTTAGCAAAACAATGTCTTTAGAAGTGTGTAATGACTTAGCCATGCACGATACACAATGCTAAACTAGTGATGATAAGCTTCCTTTACTTAGCAACATCAGCCTTAAGTGCAAAAATAAAGATACAAACTTTGGACTATGGACACGTCTTGGCTGGTCAGCTACATTTAAGTAAGCGGAAAACTGTGTAAATTTCATATTTCACCAAACTGTTTCCTTACAAAAACAATGCCACAAACCAGAGACGTAGGAAGTGGGGAAGCTGAAGGGGCTAGAGATAGAGGCCAGTTCTGAATGCCAAGGCAGCCTAATACGGTTTTTAAGCTTAAATAAATCATCTAACATAATAATAACGTTTTATCAGTCATATATCTCCCGCTCAGTGTGAGTGTTAAACCACCATGAGACTGGGCACGACACAATCGATTACCATGCCACATAGCAGCAATCTGATTGGTCACCACTTAGTAAATTTGCATGAAGTTAATCCAGAATGAGAGAGCAGAGTAAGGATGTGTATCAGCTGTCTGAGGTGTCAGTTATATGTATTTATTACTGTCTCTCGCCTCATTAGAGTGCAGTATGACACATATTGTTTGATGTAAAGTATCAAAAATTCTAACGAAAAAAAGGCAAATAATTTAGAATGACGTCATCGTTCACATCACATATATGCTGCTTAAAATTTCAGCACCCCCAACTTAAAACACGTTCCCACATCCCTGCGACAAACAGACACTCATTTACCTGAAAAACCCACAGCACACTGCATGGTATAGGACGGATCCTCGGTTAGCTGTGCGAGTCCTGCCTCCAGGAGCAAGTAGACCAATCCAGTGAGCAGAGAGAAGACAGACAGCAAGTAAGCAAACCAGGCTCCGCCCAACCTGGTCTCCAGTTTAATTCCTTTCCACAGCAAGGACACCATGTTGAAATAGAGATGCCAGTCATCAACATGATGGAATGGGGACAAAAGGAGACGATACCAGTCTCCACTCCAATAAGCCTGCTGCACGCTCACACATGTCTGGAGATACACACACATACACATACGCCATGTCAGCAGAAGCCTACAAGTCCTTCCATATCACACCTGGTCACAAAATTAATGGCATCTTTCAACATGTAATTGACCTGTGCTCCACACACAAATGCTTTCTTTTACAGCTACAGTTGCAAGGTTGGACAAGCTTTACAGAATGTTGCAAAATACCATCCCATCTAAAAAGAAATTGTAGTGCACAGCTCAGACTCTGTAGAAACTGTCCAAGTGTGCAACAATTGCTACAAACATTCTCATGTGGGCAAAGCATGGGTAAACTGTGACTTAAAATAAATAACTTGTCATTACCTGAAGGAGGGGCTTAACGGGAAAAAGAAAGAGGTAGACATTGAGGCCCAGTGTTGCTAATGTGACAGGGGGAATGTTGTCTATGCCCAGCTGGAACACCTGAGAAGCCAGCAACAGAAGTCCAAGACTAACACCTCGCTGTCTGTTACGCATCTGTAAGACACATGAAAACACACATGCACAAACTGACATTACAACATAATTAACAAACAGATCTGAACACTGCTGTCCGTCACTATTTCAAAACACACACACACACACGTGCAAAAGTCAGAGACCTTCTTTTATTCATTTAATTTCTATTGAAAACAGCCATTAAGTATAAGTTTTTAATAGAAGCCTCAACACCTGAATATAATCCAAATCATCAATGTGAACTGTGTCCATGCTTTGCCTTTAATATGGCTTCCATACTTTTCTGGAGTCTTGCTTTCAGTTTCAGTCTTGTTTTCATTTTTCCACACCTCCAAAGTTCAGTCTTAGAAGTTGGTTGCATTTTCTGCTTCTCACATTCCATGCAATCTCAAACACATTCAAAGATGGGGTAGCCAGTCTACTGTTCTGACAATATCAGCAGTGTCCTTGTTAGTGTTGGGCTGTCTTCTCACAGTGGAAGGAAGGTCAAAAACACAACACAACAGATCTGAAACAGGTGTGGAGTTTTATTTTCTCCTCTGTGTCAAAATGAAAGCTTAAATAACTTTATCTGACAGTGACAGTTTTGGTGGTCTACAAGGTCTTGCATATGGGAGGTTTCTAAAGGCTTTATGGTGCATGACTGATAGTAATCTAATTTTATCTAGTTTGAAAACTCATGTTTTTCTTTCACATCCTTTAATTTTCTTCTTCCTTATGCAAGTGGATTTGATTATTTTACATCTAATTTCCTCAAAATCATCTCCTGAAAACTTAAGAACCTGTACTTAATGGCCATTCTGACTGGAAATTAAATTAATAAGAGGTGGTCTTTTGCACAGTACATTGTATGTTTACATGCAGACCAATAATTAGCCTGTCTAACACAATATCATGTAAACAGTAAAGTTAGATTATCACGGTCAACCCAAGCTTACCGTGACTAAAAGGTGACAAACCCCAACAGGGAGCGTTTTTTATGTCTCAGCTGATGTGGTATATAAGGAATATAAGTGGTATAAATGAACTAGTCTTTTATATGACAACGTGTTGGTCTGGACCAGTCTAAGGCCAAATGAAAACTTAGTTGGGCTTTTGTCTGCATGTAAACATTAATAACCAGAAAGAATCTGGAGGCTGTTGCTATGGGTTTCGCTATGTGCTTGACCAGCTGGCATGTGCCAAGCATCTTCCAACCCCTGCAGGTCACACACACAAACTATTCAGTCACAATACTCAAGCCCACAGGACAGGGGAAAAAAGTTGCAGAACAGAGATCACAGTACAGAGACACACACAGACACAGCTGGATATGAGGGTTTGAGAATGTGAAGAATGCACTGACAGTGCAACGCTCAAACCACAGAATGCTAAGTGGGTCTAAATGAGGGTCAGGCCTAATAACCTACTCACACATAGTACTGAGTGCTTGGGCCAGGACACCATATAACATTAGAATAAAAACAAATCAATATAAATACAGTTAAACGTAACAAGAATTTACTCGTTTCAAAAAGGAAGTTGACATTGAGCTAGTCAGAAGAACAAACATCTGGTTCCAGATCACTCCTTAACATCCCCAGCTATCGTATGTAAATTCTATCACCAGCAAACCTGATGTAATTTAATGAAGTGCTGATTAGCTATACCAGGTATTGGAGGCTAACTATTAGTACTGGACCTCCTTGAGGACAGGATTAGAGGGACAGATGGTTCTATGGCATCTAACCATTTAGAAGCATCATTAACATCACCATGTTCACTCCATGATCTAACAATTCAACTCTTTATCTAATTCTTGGCACAAAGGTTTTAAAAACATACTTAAAAATTAATAAAGGATTCAATAGATGTGTTCAGTCATATGTGTATACTGAACGTTTTCCCAATCAACCAATCAGATTTTAGGACCAGAATATGATTTTATAATCTAACTGTTACAATGGCAGTACAGCCTACTACAGGAGTCCAATCGTTTCTCTGGAGATTTAGGCTCCCCTTCTATTCCAATATTCTAATGTGATCTAATATAAGACCTTGTATATGCATGTTAGTTTGGGGTTAAAACTAAGCTCTGACCTACCTGCTCGCCTATAACCAAGTGATTTTATCTTTTATTTCAAAAACTGTGGAAAATCATCTTAGAATTGTAGAAGGTCAAAAGGGTCAAATGTCTTACACTACAGAAAGTCAAAAACAGGTCACTGCAAATCTTGTATCTCTGATATGGTAACTTTATAGGTCAAGAAGAAAGTTAACATAAATTAATTTATAATTGATTGATTTTAATATGATATAATAATTGATAATGGATTTTCCCCCTATTGGTCCATTCATTCACCAGATAAGAAAGGAAAGAATTTTCAAAATGCAAGGTTTTGTTATGACAGTGACGATATGCTACAGTTACTGTATGATTATGAAGACAAGAGCTTCATAGAACAAGTACAAGACACAAGATATTAGGTCAATATTGCTGCTGTTCCTGAAAAACCTTGAAGTTTACAGCACAGCACAGTTTAGACAAATCATTTTAAAGTATTAGAGCAAGATTAATATGTTTTTATAACAACAACTTACACATCTCTGCTACAAATAAAAAATGTTTACAGCATCTGCAATATATGAACAAATGGAAAGTGACACAAGTGCCAATGTTACTACGTACCCTAGGAGTTGGGAAAAAAAAGTGATACAGCATCTTATCGCAATATTTTGCATGGCAACATTGTATCGATACACAATGCCAAGTATCGATACAAAGACACTAAGTATAGATATTTTATTATATAAATTGCAAATACAAAAAATTCTTTTTTGGCACTAGAATAACAGAATCAATTGCTTTTTCAGTCCACTAGATGGTGCTGAGTTTATTCTGGTGAGGTCAGCAAAACTATACATAAACTATAACTATAAAATATGCAGAAAAAAAAAATTAATGGTAATTGGACTGGTTGAAACCAGAGTCTAATTTCACTGGACCGATGGCCGAGACTGAGACAAGTCCAAGTACAATTACTACCGAGTGTAAGTATGAGAAAAAAGTCCGAGACCAGACTCTAGTACCACTAGAATGACTAGTGGCATCTTTACATGACATCCATAGTATTTGGATATACAAATTTTTATAAAATTTCCAGAAAATGAACTGTACTGAACTGTATTCACTGGGAGGCTTAGCTGTGGGTTTCACCTAACCCTGCCTACAGAGGCCGCATTTTAGCCTGGCTTGCTCTCATTGTACATGCTCATTTACATACATCCAAACAGTCGCCAAAAGGGTGATTAGAATAATTCAGCTGTGAATTATTCTGTGATTTATACGGTAAGTCAGTAGGTCAGTAATCAAAAAACCCTTGCAGTGGCATGGTACAAAAAAACGGTCTTCAGTATAAATCTTGAGAAATATTTGTCCGATTGTTGTCAAATATCATTGATGATGGCACATACATACAAGAAAGCATGCTCTACATTAACCTGTTGAGGTACATTAAAAAATCTGCGTTATATTTTACCCCATGTTAGTTTGTCACTACTCAGGAGAACAGAAAAGAGCATTTGCATTTGACAGCATTGAATCTATTACTAATAAATGGAACTTTTTTTTTCAGACCATACAGGTTGTAAAGCCCCTGGATCAGATGCATCAAGGCCAACAGATGGCTACGTTTGGCCACAAATGTTTAGGATATATCACAATAGTACAATATTCAAAATGAATTTCATCATAGCGCTCGGTCCTAGCAACAGACCATGTACATGTTACTGACCATGGGCTGCCAATAGGGTTTCTCTCAACTGGTTGTAGCTTGGGGTCTTTCCAGGCCTTACCTGTTACCAGAATTACTAACTAAAGCTGATTTAATCTCCTAAACATGATGTTTCCAAGTGAGGTCTCAGTCCGAATTCAAGAACCACCAGCACCTTTAGAATGACATGACTTGGCAAGAAACACTAATCAAATCATGTTGTCCTTTCAGCAAGCTAGTAAGCTTCATTTAAGTCATTCAAAGAGGAATTCCACCAACTTTTTAAAATTATAAAATTATATAATTACTGAATAATTCAGTCCTTGAGATGTAAACAGATTCATTCACAGTGGATTGATGTGAAATGGTTCATTTGCAGACTCTGATTTCTTTACAGTGGTGATAGGAACCAGGGGTCACAAGGTCTACAATACAAACCTTGCCATTTTATTTAGTATCCAAAACTATACTTGTGTTAGTTTTTATATCTTGATAATGGAAAAATAGTCATAAATTTGAAAAAATATGTTTTCTTTGGGGACTACGGTGTCTTACAATTTCCTGCATGTAGCCCTCCACCATGAATGGATTAAAATAAATGGATTCAAATACATTTTAAGCCAAAACTTTATCACAAAACCATCATAAAACAGTGTCTTCGGCATCAGCCACCATAATCATAACAATTTATGCAAAAACTTTCTGTGAGGGAGCTTTTAGAGGTGGACGTCTGGTTCATGTCACCACCACTGTAACAATTCAGACTCAGTAAGTTTGAATGGCTTTGTTTACATCTTAAACATTTAATTATGCAGATATTTTGAAAAACTGGTGGAGTTCCCTTTAAGTTATCCTTTTACAAAGCTCTATAAAATTGAGTTACTTGAATTTGCCTAATCATTTTGACGAATAAAGCTCCAGAAATTTAACCGCACATGTATTATTTGTTTATTTACTTGGCTCTTTTTTACTATATTTACTTATTTCACTTACTCTACTTTTAAGTCAAGCTTGACTGATGTAGGAAGCTGACATGGGTCTTCTTTTCAGCTCTCGCAACCAGACAGTTACTAGCTAACCTAGTTGATTCATTACAGGCGCATAGTCAAGTCGAAATAACATTGTAGTACAATTTCTATCTGTCTTTCTTTCAAAAACACTACTGGGGAAGAGCAGAAACCCACCTCTGAGCGTAGCGAAAAGCCCTAATGAAGTTGCACCGCCTCGGCTGGCTGGCACTGTCCTTTTGTGCCTGGGTGTTGTGTTTTCCTGATGTAGCTGTTTAAATAATCGGCCTGAAGCTCTACTGTCTTTAGCCAAAACTCGCAATGACAAGAAACGTTTCCGACAGCACTGTCAGCCTCACAGAAAAGCCACGTCAGATTATTCAGATTACAAACTTACTTCGTTTTCACATGATTTCATCACCTACTTACAAGCCGGAAGAAAACAAAATGACGATGTGAGTCACATGACATTGAGCGGAAGTTCTCTTTTTCAACCTTTTGGGACTTTACTACTGTAAAAAATATATATATATATATATATATATATATATATATATATATATATATATATATATATATATATTTACAAACATGTATTTACAATATAATAGTACAGTTTCTTTAGAAAAAAAGTAAAAAAAAATGTGTGTTTAAAATACTGGAACTGAAGTAACTTTCTATAATAACTTGAAGGAGAATCTGACCTATTTTTCAAAATTTCTGCATAATTAAATGATTCATATGTAAACAAAGTCATTCAGACTGGTTTTGTGTGAAATGCTTCATTCTAGAGGAACTTACTGAGTCAGCATTGCTCACAGTGGCGGTGATAGGAATCAGACGTCCACCGCTAAACGCTCCCACACAGAAAATTACTATATGAAAAGTTTATGAATACTCCAGCTGGTGTTTTATGGTAGTTTTGTGATAAAGTTTTGGTCTAACACATGGCAGAGGGATACATGAAGGGTGCAGGGTGTACCATCTGTAAGATTTTCACTACAAATCATTTCACATCGAACCACTCTGAAACACTTTGTTTATATCTCAACCACTGAATTATGCAGACATTTTGAAAAATTGGTCAAATTCCCTTTTAAGGTCCCTGATCTCAACATGCATAAAACAGCTTTTAGTAGAAAATAATTGAAAATCTTCCAATAATTGATAGTTACATACATATACATATAATTTGAAATGTGAATATATGTGCCTGACCCTTTATAATATATGCATATATTGCCGTATATTAGACTTCTGTATTTTATTTCTGTATTTTTTTGCTGTTTAGATATATACTGAGGTTTCTTAGTGGAAGCAATCAATATCATCATGAAAAGTTTAAAAGTTTTGAGCTGTAGTTTTGACCGACCAATATTTTATTTGTTGGATGATATGTAAGCACCAGAACTATTCTTTCTGGGCTTCCCTTTTTTCAGTAAGGACAGCAAAGGTAATGGCATGTCATCTGTGATATGTTTGGGAAATCCAGTCATTAAAATGTTCACACATCTCTTTCCTATTAGATAGGAAGCTGTTTTCAATACAAATGTGTTGTAATTTCACTTAAATAGCAGTGAGTAACAGACATTTTGTCAGCTTCTCTGTTACTCTTGTATTAATCATTGAGCCTATTCTGCTGTATTCTTCAATTTGGTTTTTCTCTGTGTTAAAAGTGGTGAATATTAACAAATTTGCATGCGTCACTCATACTCATAAGCCTACACACACATAACCGGAGCAGACAATAATAAGGCTATTTTAAGAAGGGCTATTGTAATAATTCAATACCCTCAATCACCCACTACACTCATCTTTCACTCTACATCCATCTGGATGGAGATACAGAACACTTACCTTAAAAAGAAAAAAATCTGATTTGCCAAAGGACAGGGGAGGGGTGCCCCTGGTCAAATTACATGTTTTGTTGATTTTCTAAGTGAAAATATGTACACACACTTCTGCACATTTTAATACACAATCAAAGTCTATTTGCTGAACATTTTGGAAAAAACATAAAATGTGGCACTGTAAAATGGTTTATTAGTTCAACCTATAAACTAATATCTCATGTAGTAACAAGCAAATTAACTAGTTTTAGTCAGCTCAAGAAAACACTATGAATGAGACATGAGCCAGCCAGTTCAATTACTTTTTACCACATAAAATATTTTTGTAGGTTACTATTTTTACTTTTGTAACTTTAAACGTGGCACTGCCATAGGATGCCATTTTTACCACAAGTCAGGTTGTGAGCTTTCCACCCTGCTAGATCTGCCCTGGTCAACCGCAAGCGCTATTACTGTGAAATGGAAGCATCTAGTATAGTCAGGTGTCCACATATTTTTGTGTATTTCTGATGAGCAAACATGTATGCATGGCACAGACTGTGAAAACAAAACAAAATCAGAGGACGCTAAAGAATCTCATCTACCAGGTCTGTTAGATTGTTAGTAGTACCATTGTCTCTATATATTTTAATATTTTTAACTCTATTTTTGGAAACTCATGTTTTTTTATTTATTTTCCTTTGAGCTTGCTTACACAAGCTGATTATGAAACATCTGAAAATTAAATAATGAATTGAATACTTAATGGCTGTTTAAAGGAAGGGTGGTCCCCGACTTTTGCACAGTAGTGTACAGTATATTACAGTGCCCTGAAATTGTAATCCTGATAAATTTCTTAACATGAATGCATGTGTGGGTGTGTGTGAGAGAGAGAGAGTGGGAGGGAGTCTGAGTAAATGTTTGAGCAGACAGGGTAAAATAGAGGTTTAAGTAGAGCTTAGGGAGTAAAGTAGCACGTGAAAAATGGGGCACAAATGATGTAAGCAGACCAGGCAGTGTCTGTGTTGTGTTGCGTTGCCACGACAACCGTTGGGCCAGCAGAAGTGCAGATGATGTGGGAATGAGCATGCTCTGTGTGTGTGTGTGTGTGTGTGTGTGTGTGTGTGTGTGTACTGGAATGAAGGTGCTCCAAGTGCTACTGTGCAGACAGTCTGAACAGATTTGATTTAAAATCCTGTTGTGTCTGCATTCTGCCAACATTTGTAAATATGTCTCCGTATAGGATGGTCACATCTTTATGTGAGATAGAGGACGAGCAAGCACCAGAGTTTTTAAAGAAAAAAGAAACTGTATGTGTGTATGTTTGTGTGCGTGCACACGAGCCTGTACTCTGTGAACCCAGTTGTGCTATGATGTAAGATAGTCGCCTTTCTCTCTGTCTCTCTCTAGCTCCCTCTCTCTCTCTCTCTTTGTCAGACTGGATTACATCTGCAGCTGTCCCTAGAGAAAACTGTGACAGGGACAGAGGAGTGGAGGGGCCAGTGAGTGCACACTATGCAGGGATTTAAATCAAATCCCTCGACAGCAGTGAACGCTATTTTGCTGTATATTCCAGTTTGTGACATGAGTGACTAAAATGAACATCGTTTCTGGTATTATCAAAATATTGTTAAATATGTCAAAAAAGTAAACAGAAGTAAACCTCTCGAATCTCTTTCTAACACCAATAAAAATACACTAAGATTTAAAGGGCCAATATCATGGAAAACCTAATTTACCTTGCTCACTTCTGTGGAATAAAAGACTTTGATGTAGTATGTAAACTTTGTTAGTTTAAAAAAAAACAACAACCAATCACTCCCCAGTTCATACAGTCCATGTAGGGAAAATAAGCTAAAAAAACAGCCCATGTTAAAAATTTTTTGTGATGTGATAAAAAAACAGCACATTTACATATATCCACCCTTTAAGCCTACATCCGTTTAACCCTGCCCATTCATGCTGAAGTTATAAGAAGTATTTCAGGGTAGCCAATCAAAATAGACATTATTTACATATATTAATCTTAAAGGTGCAATAACAAAAACAGCGTGTTTCATTCTAAGGGATAGATAGAGAGAGAAAAATGGCCATGGAAAAACAAATTATGACTGTAATGATTGTTTTCGGTACATAAACAATATACACGTCATAAGTGGACCTCATGGATAACAGAACAATACAAGAAACTGAAGGATATGGGCCTTTTAAAGAAATTTAAAATTATTGGCATCTCGTAAGCAAACTTTTAGGGGCCCCTGGTCACATGACATGTTTTGTTGCTTTTTTAAGTGAAAATAAGTTTACACATCCTCTACAGAGAACGCACTTTTGTACATTTGACTGCATAATTATAAAATATAACAAAATAAAAACATGGCCTGTACAAAAGTTTTGACACATTTTCTATTTTGATTTTTTCCCCCAATACATTCACCTCAGCAAGTAAACAGAAATCAAAATTTGCAGAAAATTGTCATGTTGTGTTCCCTTTAGAGAATGAGTTAAATTATTTTCACTTATTAAATCAACAAAGCATTGACCTCAAACCTCTCCTGCATGAACTGACCCTCCTGATGATGCTGCTGCTGCACAGACACCAACTATTTTATCACAGACATTGCTTCAACCCCCTGCGATGGACTGGCGACCTGTCCAGGGTGTATCCTGCCTTCCGCCCCATGACAGCTGGGATAGGCTCCAGCACCCCACCACGACCCAGAAGGATAAGCGGTTTAGATGATGGATGGATGGATGGACATTGCTTCAACCCTTTTCTGTATTTTAATATTTTATACTATTGGTAAAACCTTATGCTCTGTATGCTCTTCTGTTATTGTTTTGCTATTGGTGTCGACCAGAGAAGGATGGGCTCTCTGTTTTGAGTTTTGAGTTTTCTTTCCTCTCAAGGTTTCTTCCTCTTGCTCTTAGGGAGTTTTTCCTTGCAATTGTTGCCATTGGCTTGCTCCTAGGGGTTTGGACCTGGAAGCTGCTATATAAATAAACTTTGACTTGACTTGGCTTGACCAAGGGTGTTCAAACAGTTATTTAAGATGAAATAGAGCTAATAGAACGGGATGCCCAAACTTTTCATCTTGGGGGACCAAAGTGCAAAGTTTGTGGTTGGCTGAGGGCCAAAAAGTCACAAATAAAGATAAAAATATGAGTAAAATTCTTAAATAAATAAGGTAGAAAGCTATTAAAATGTACTTTATAACACTGCTGTTGTTGAAAACTGTTCATATTTTTTATAACACTACAGTTGTTGAAAACTGTTCATATTTTCCCTTTGAAAATACAAAGGGAAAATATGAATTGAATAAGTTACATATAATATGAAAATTAGTTCGTTCTCTCATAGGGTGGAGGTGGGCTATAGGGGTTGTGGGTAACTTTCTGGCAGTCCAAATAAAACGTCCTCAAGGGCCAACTTTGGCCAGCAAGCCACACTTTGCAGTTTTTAGAGAGCTTAAAGAACTATTACATTACATTTCAACAATACAATACAATGTAACATATACATCACTTCTATAACAACAGCAGTCAAATATCAGAAACACTGACATTTTTACAAGTATGTCCTATTATATAAATATTTTGTCATTATTTTAAAATTCAAT